GGGATTCAAGTAAACAAAAAAAAACGGCAATAAAATTAATAGTTTCAGTCTTGATTATACAACGTATATTTTCATTTCATTTTTCGTAAATTGATGTTGCGTACTTTCTCGTTGTTTTCTTACAGCGCGTGTTGAGTATAGTAAATCGTTAAGGTCAATGTATTTGATAACTGTAGACGAATGTATGGGCCCTCGTCTCTTTCTACGATGATGAGGTTGACGTGGTTTTTTACAATTTAATGTTGGTTTATTAATTAATGTTATGGCTGATATGGATAAATCCAATTTTTTCAGAGAATTATTTGATGTCGACAAAGTGGATGACAACGGTTGTGAATAGTTCGATTTATTGAAACGTTTTGGTGTTGATGTCAATGAAATATGGTATTGAAAAGATTCGATACTTGGATGCAACGATGATCCATTGATGCGTTTCATTTTGTTTAATGATATGTTGAAGTTAAAATAGAGTAGATATTTATAAACAAGAAGAGAGAAGAGAAGAGGAAGACAAACAATGATGGGATTGTATAGATAAACACTAATTGGGCAAGGGAAAGTTGATTCTCGTTCTGAAATAAATATTCACAATTTATTGTTAAATGATGACAGATAAAATATTCAATATTATGAAATTCCACCAGAAGAACAGTAATGAGCAAAAGTATTCTCATGTTTTTCTAGTAGATCGTCTTTAAATTAGTTGGAAAATGCTTTTGAATGCGAATGAAGTTCAATGCTAATCTTTGATCACTTAGTCTATTAGAGGCGACAGGAGAGAGAGAGAGAGAATTGTTTATTGTTTGTTTGATATTATGTTTACAAGTAAGTGTGAATTTAAAAGGAAAACAGTGGCGCGTGCCGTATCGAATACAATCAAAGCAGTAGATAGAGAAGTGACAAACTATTATCATTTAATGAGAATATTGAATGTATTATGCATTTAACCTGCAGTTCGTTTTTCAGTAACAAGATGTTCATTGAAACGGATCTATTGAGTGAAACACGCAATTTGTTGGAAATTCATGATTATTATATTTGATTTCGGTTTAGATGAAAAGAACAGTTTTCATTGAGAGTTATTCTAATAGAGAAAATATTCGTTTCTCTGATATGTTAAATGAACTTCGTGCCTCCTACTGTTCGTTCACAGTCTAGTGTTGACATGCGTTGCTTGCTGTTGGGAAATCTATTTTACTAGTGAAACATTCGTTTTTTTCTCATCCGCATCTGTTTATTAGAATCAATAGGGCACGAATATTTCCTTTCAAAAATTGATTAAAACTATCCGGTGATTTTAATCGTCTGTAAAGGAAGGGTGTAAATAAAGAAAATTATTATCATTATTATTTATTGTCGAAATCGAATTAAAACGAAAATTAACCCGAAAGAAAGCCGCATTGAATTTCATCGGTTCCATCACCACAATGATCGCCTCCGTTACATTCAAGTTTTTTTGAAATACAATTCTTATTTTTACAAAGATAAAAGCCAAGATTTTGAGGACAATGAGCTATCACTAAATTGAAGAATCTATTATAAAATAATCGATTACAATTACAGAATCATACTTGGAAAATGAAGGGCAATAGCAATTTTAAATCCAGATGATTCCCTTTCTGTATTACTTGTAAATATCATTGTCACTTGCGTTGTTGAACTCTAAAGTATTCGAAACATTTTTTATTATTTTTGTTAAATCGAAATTTTGATTAACATCATACTGTAAAAGTGAAAGATGCACTCGAACCACATTGACGTTCAAGATTTGCATTAACTATTTTTTTGCCATCATAGATTTTCAATAAATCACCTGGACAATCAAGAATATTCATTCTTTCTATTGTTACAATCAACCGTTGACTTGGTTGAGCTGTACGAAATTTCACAGTACAGTTTAAATTGGCTTTATATTTACTATTGCTGGTTAAATAAAATGAAATACCCGGTCTATTATCACCGTTCAAAATAAAAGGATCGTCTCCACACATTCTATCCATATAATCTAGATGAAAGTAATAAAAAACTCGGAATCGATTCTCTTTAAAAGAAAATATCAAATATTTACATTTTTCTTTAACACCTTTAGCATGATTGACCCGAATGATTGAAATTAACAAACATAAAATAGTTGAAAGTCTTAATAAACTAAATATTACCATTGTATTGAAATGGTTAAAGCAGAAAATTTTAAACTGAAACTAAATGATATGAATGAAGCCTTTCGTTGTTGCTAAGCATGAACATAGTATGGCGCCGAAATTTCATTATATATTTAATAGATTATCAATGCACTGACCTGAGGGTGATGTAACTAAAGAAGTTAATCACCCACGACCATCTCCATTCCCACTGAAGTTCGGCAATAAATCTATTTTTTTTAAATGTAGGATTCAGTCATCTAATAAACTTTTTAAAACCCCCATTTTGACAAGTTATTTCACAAGCAAAAAAAAAATACCTAGTATTGTTAAATTTTTAATGCTCTTTCTAATGGTGCCCTTGACAATCGAAAATCGTTACATTACTTTTCTGCACATGGCCATAAACTCCGTGTGCAATAGCGAAAGTGTTTGTGAAAATGAATTATCGAAATAGTAGTGGATTGTTATTTTCCATGAGATTTTTCTTTTTATTCGCAATTCTATGTGTCTATTTCATTGTTCTCAATATGTAGAGCCTTGCCGAGTGTTCTCCTAATAAAAAAAGACACGAAATGCGTTGTCTAATCATTCTTGAAAATCGATTATTGGAAACTAAGAGTTGAGATCGACGAAATGAATTTATTTTTCGTTACAAGTTGAATCCACCTCTGTGCCTCACTCTAGTCGAAAACAGAAGAAGCGCCGCACAATAGTCAACTTTTAAATATCAGCGGAGAAGTGACATCAAAGAAACGGCTGCTATAAGCGAGCGAAAGAACTGCGCATACCGACAGCAGCAAGCAGATAGTTCAGTGCATCGTTCGTCTGTTTGTTCGCTCATCCATAAGCTAAAATTGATCGAGATAGAAAAGGATATTAGACAAGATTTATTTAGTCGTTGCTGTTAATTTCAGTTTTCTCAATCATCGAACTTAGTTTTCTATGTAATTGCTTAATAAAAGTTTGTTGTTTTTGTATATCTTCTAGAAATAGTATATCATTATTTCTTTCCTTTTAATGTGTATCACATGTGACTCATACAAGAAGAAAAGCGAAGTATTGCCATATGACTCTCACCTTTCTTTTTCCTTCGTAATTTGCAACGCCGAGTTGAAATATATTTTGGAATTTTAACTTTTTTTTTGTTTAACATTCAATATTTTCATGTACTCGAGATTTATCAGATTTTTGTCAAATTCTAAAATTCAGTCACTATTCGAATGAAAAGTATTTCTTTTGCAGATTTTCATCATGGCAAATAACAATGATATGAATCATCGTGAAGTCTTCCAACTTCATATTGGATCGGCTGGTATCGAAATCGGTCATCGCTGTTGGGAATTATATTGTTTAGAGCATAGTTTAACTGCCGATGGTAATATCGTTAACGGAACAGAAGCAAACGTTCCTCCAAAATGTTTCTTCTCGGAAAAGAAAAACTATCGTCCTCGTGCTCTTTTTATCGATTCTAATTGTTCAACAATGGACACAGTAAAATCCAGTAAATACCGAAACTTATATTCCAACGATCAGTTTCATTTATTGGCAAATAATTCTTTGGAGTCAGTTCTCGATACGATTCGAAAGCAAATCGAAGATTATGATAATTTTGATGGTTTCATAATATCTCATGCTATGAATGGTCAATGTTCGAGTTTTACTTCTGAACTTTTACAAAAATTTGCATCCGATTACACAAAGAAAACGATTGTGACGAATTCCATATTTGGCTCGTCTATTGATGTTAGTAGTATGTACAATCTGCTGGAATTGGCCCATGTCGTTATCCCCATGGAGAACAAAGCTATTTTCAATCTATGCAAACATCGACTTGAGATCGCCAATCCTGCATACGCTAATATGAATAGGCTGATAGCTACGTGTTGGAGTAATATTACATGTTCCATGAGATTTAAGGGTTCTTTACTAACAGATTTGAACGAATTTCAAACAGCACTTATTCCTTTCCCGACGATGAAAATAATTTCATCATTTCTTTTACCATTAATACCATTTTCATGCAGTACACAAAAGGATTTCAAATCACCATCAGTGTACGATATGTGTGTTCCGTTATTCTCTCAAGCGCATACTTGTTTTGTACATCAGTCAACTCCGTACAAGATGCTGTTATCTGCAACGCTACATTTTCGAGGTGAAAATATCATTCCGAAAGAAATCGGACAAAAATTAATTATCGCTATGAAACAATGGTGGCGATTTTCTGATACAACACCGACTGGATTTAAATGCGGAATTAATTATTGCCGTCCGTATATTTTCGATGATGATTCCGATATTGCATTGACTGATAAACAAGTGTGCGCATTAGTGAACGAGATGGCTACATCAAAATATCTTTGCGAGATAGCTCTGAATCAATCGTCAAATACACAAGACGAAACAGCAGAAGTCAATGAAGCAAATGATTTTTTGCAAGGTCTAAAAAGCAATTATCAAGAGTTGGAAAGTGAGATTATCAACGCCAATGAATTGAATTTAGCCACTCCTTTTAAATAACTGCTCAATATCTGTACTGGAGTAGACCATAAATGTATTCTGTATTCAAACTTTATGTTATTAGCGTTAGCCGAATTCTCTGCAAATCGTCTAAAGTGAGGGTGTGAATACTTCCTTCATTCGAACAGGCATCAACTCGCAATCACACCCACACCCTCAGTCCTAACAGAAGATCGTTACCCGACGTAATGAGGTTATGCCATCACTCGCTCAATGTGAATCTTTGATCACTTTGTCGATGAGAGGCGACAAGAGAGACAACAGTTTATTGTTTATTTGATATTATGTTTATAAGTAAGTGTGAATTTACGAGAATAATTAATTATTAGAAGAATAGAGGTGACCACAGAGTATTGTTTACTGAGAAACGTAACTAAATATCTTGAACGAAACCAGTAGAACAACTGTAAATTTATTTTATTAACAACTTGATTTCGAGACTTTACAGAAAAATTAGTTGTACCGAAATTCAAAACAAAAAATACGCCAGAGAATCACTGTTCATTATTTGTCCTAAGCCATATAATTGTACTGTTTCCTACTAAGAGAACATTGGAAATAAATGAGAATTATGTTGGATCCAGTTAACATACCTGTTGTGTGTTGCGCACGATAAATATTCGCGTTCTATCAATGATTCAATTCGAGTTTCTACTACTTTGCAAGTCAATTGAAATCGTCCTTTGAGTGAATGTATGACCTAAAAACAAGGACAAATGAGCAAAAAGATTTAGTCTTTGTTGAAGACAGAAAACGTACTTTCATGATCAATTCAATGTGTTGCATAGTTTTGTGCGCCTTCATAATTCGTACTATTGCTGCATCAATTTCATGATGACGAATAATCTCGACTTTAAGTTGAACTTCTTGTCGTCCCTGATTACTTTCAGACTTTTTTCTGATTTGCTTGACTTTTACAAAGTAATGTGTTGATTGGAAAGAGTCATTGATATGAAATCGATCGTTTGGTTGAATATCGCTATGTTTAGGTTGTTTCACAAGTACTTTCGTTTTCGTTTTACTCATGACTAATGATGATAAAGCGCATTGAAGATGATGTTCATTGATGTTTGTTCTTTCATGAATTTCCTGGAAAACAAAAAATGAACTCCAGAATTATCTATCATTTCGTGAAATTTGCTTCTATCGCATTTCTTACTCTAGGCTTACCTCAAATGACCACGACTCTTTCTCATTAAATAACATCAAGACGATCATCTGATAAGTCGACACATGCAACAGATATTTTTGTTCGTTGAGTTTTTTAATTGTCGACTGCTCATTTTTTAGTCGATCATAAAATGCTAACGTCAAATCTGCTGTACCACAACTTGGCTCTAAGATCAGCCGGCGATTTTTTTCCATCTTTATAAAAAAATTATGAAAACACTGATAGACTTGTTGTATCGTATGTGGTAGATTACACTGATCAATCGTATATCGCAGTGGCCAAAAGTCTCGCGTTAAAACTAACACCGAAAGATCAATGCCATGCAAATCGAATGATTCCTGAACACGAAAAGCTTGAAACTTGCTCATGTTTTCTTTCGATATCAATATATCGTTGTTCATAGACTTCAAATGATGTCCAAATTGCTGACCAAATATGATTCTCAGTCTTGATATCATTTTATTCTCCATATGGCCGGATATCGGTCTCTTCGAAAGAAGACGCTGAGCAAAATGTTTCAGGTAATATTGTTGAAAATTATATTTGTCTCGTAAATATTCTATTATTGCCGTTATTTTATCCAGAATCACATTACAATCATCATTATTACAGTTGGATAGGAGTTCGTCATTGATAAATAAGGAAATATATTCTGAAATATGTTGTTTAGAATTGATAAAACATTCAAGATCGAAATCGATTCGTTTTTTGCATGTCTAAAATATAGAGCTCAAGAATTTTACTCGTTAATAATAATCGAAAACTAACTTCGTCACCATTGAATGGTCGTTTGAGAAAGATATCGAAAATATCTTTCAAATTAAGTAAATTCTAAATGAAAAGCATTGAATCATTATTCCGTAAATCGATCGATGAACTTACCTGAATATGAATACGAACTGTTTTATTTTCATTTTTATTGTACATTAGTTTCTTCAATATTTCTGTAAAATTTTGATAGTATTGCTCAAATAGATCTTTTCCATTCAGATAATTTATGAGTACTATTGCTTTGAAAAGTGCCAAGAGTTGTTCTTTATCAAAATGTGTAACATCGTTTTCGAATTTATGTTTAACAAACGATGAGAGATAGGCCGTATGACGTTGGTTTATATTGTTCAGACTTTCGGAATCAAACTTGACGTTTTGTTCTAATGATATATCGTCGGCAAATACGATTCTACGAATATTCTCGAATGTGTCTATCGATTCAAGTAAATCATCAAGCAACTGAACGTGGTGACCGTTCTCTTCGTCTTCAATTTTCAATGCTTCTCTTCGTTTCTGAAAATATCCATTAACACAGTTAACAACAATCAAATGGCCATTTGGAACTCGTTTAAAAACCCGATACATCAATGACAGATCGTCGTAATTCTTTGATTCTATCATATGAACTACACCTGAACTTTCCATTTCTACAATGCGCGTCGCGTGTTTTTCAATGAATTCTTCTTCAGCCATTTTAACGATGCAATCCACAGTTGATTTTGGACAATAATCGACGACACGCGTATATTCTTGGCTAATACGTGCAGATATTTCACGGATATACTCAGATGCATTCTTTTCGGCCAGTAGTTTCTCACTTTCTTGTTGATAAGCATTAGCTGAATGTTGTAGAAATGGTGTTTCAAAGTATTCAGTGTAGATTGAATTATTATCATCCATAGTGATCAACATTTGACAGATATATTTCATCGTTGTTGCATTTACAACTCCGCCGTGCTGGCACGGATCGAATGTGTTCAGCAGAGAGCTTTTGAGACGTTCTTGAATAGTAGGATAATTAATAATATTTTCACGAAAAAGAGAAATACTCATAAGTTGCGTATTATCAAGACCATTTACGCGAGCATACAAATGATCCATCTGCCGTAATATGCTACTAAGAATTCTAATGGCCATACGATAGACATTCCATTTAGATTTGAGAATACCCAAAAATTCTGTCGCAGATGCTTCTAGGATAGTTTCTCTAACCTGAACGAAAGTGAAACAAAATAGGCAAATCGAACAAAAAAATACGTTCGTCTCCTTACTTTTCCAACTAGATGCTCGGTGATCAATGCTCGAGTATTTGTATACAGTTTCTCGCCAAAACGATTGTTCACCAGCGACCGACAGACACTACGATACTCGCCGGAACGTGGCTCAGTAGGGTTCACTAGAATGCTTTGAATGCCCGGTCTCAACGTATCATTCCAGATCTCATCAGGAGTCTTATTATTCATTTCCTCCTGAAAGAAAAGAAAATAAAATCAATAGCTATGAAATAAGTTTCCCAACAAATTTCAAAAAGAGCCATAGAAGTTGCGTCTCACTCGTGATGATGTATCAATAAAAATGCATGTTTTTTTTTGTGACAGATCATCTTATACAACACTACGATTATGCAGAAGATTCAATAATACTTACAAAATATCTTCTTATAAATCCTTCTGTTTCCATCAGTTCGTACACGTAGCTGGAATTTAAGATTAAATAATCTGAAAGAACCTTTACAATTTTATAAAGAAAATTAAGTATAGAACAGGCCGAAAAATAAGTGATGTTGCATCAAATTACATGTGCATTTCGTGTTTGAGAGAAGAAAAAAGCGATTACAATTGTCACACATTATAATAGTATGTCAACTGCACCGAAATATGGTGTATGAGTTGACATCAACCATTGGTCTTAGAAAATGAATGGAAATAATCTGAGCATTGCAATCATTTTCAGAAGCGATCTAATCAGAGTGCTAGTGGGTAAAAGACGCATGCACATACCCTATCGGGGGAAAATTCAAATGTATGATTAATGAATGAAGACAGACAACAAGAATGAAAGCAGTCATAAACACAGGCATGCTTTTGTTTTCGAGTGGATTTTGTTAGCTAAATCAAGATTCTAAACTAACTTTCCTCTTTTGCCGTACGTGAAGAAACGTAATACTTGCAATTCTTTGCTATTCTGCGAGAGTGAGCTTGGTCTTACATAATAAAAATATTCAGGAAAAAAAACAAACCTGACCGAAATGCGCATGGAAGAAAGAACAAAGAGGTAAGTGTGAAATCATAATAAAACTTTCATGACTTACAGACGATGACGTAATGCAAAACATATTTGCACATGTTGGATAATTCCGATGAATCATCCAATGTCAGTCACGTGTACTCCAAAAAAACCCACTCAATTGCTTCAAACATCTCTTACAATACAAGTGAAAAAGAAAAAGAAAAAACACATTTTGTTTTTCAGATGCGATTACTTTCAACTAGCATTCTGTCATTGTACTAAATTGACGTAGTAGAACCTCAGAGAAGGAAAATCATTATTTGTGTAACTTTTGATATTTGATAAATTATGCGGACTTTAAGTTAACATATTTATTCAAAAAAAAAAGAAACCGGGATTCAAGTAAACAAAAAAAAACGGCAATAAAATTAATAGTTTCAGTCTTGATTATACAACGTATATTTTCATTTCATTTTTCGTAAATTGATGTTGCGTACTTTCTCGTTGTTTTCTTACAGCGCGTGTTGAGTATAGTAAATCGTTAAGGTCAATGTATTTGATAACTGTAGACGAATGTATGGGCCCTCGTCTCTTTCTACGATGATGAGGTTGACGTGGTTTTTTACAATTTAATGTTGGTTTATTAATTAATGTTATGGCTGATATGGATAAATCCAATTTTTTCAGAGAATTATTTGATGTCGACAAAGTGGATGACAACGGTTGTGAATAGTTCGATTTATTGAAACGTTTTGGTGTTGATGTCAATGAAATATGGTATTGAAAAGATTCGATACTTGGATGCAACGATGATCCATTGATGCGTTTCATTTTGTTTAATGATATGTTGAAGTTAAAATAGAGTAGATATTTATAAACAAGAAGAGAGAAGAGAAGAGGAAGACAAACAATGATGGGATTGTATAGATAAACACTAATTGGGCAAGGGAAAGTTGATTCTCGTTCTGAAATAAATATTCACAATTTATTGTTAAATGATGACAGATAAAATATTCAATATTATGAAATTCCACCAGAAGAACAGTAATGAGCAAAAGTATTCTCATGTTTTTCTAGTAGATCGTCTTTAAATTAGTTGGAAAATGCTTTTGAATGCGAATGAAGTTCAATGCTAATCTTTGATCACTTAGTCTATTAGAGGCGACAGGAGAGAGAGAGAGAGAATTGTTTATTGTTTGTTTGATATTATGTTTACAAGTAAGTGTGAATTTAAAAGGAAAACAGTGGCGCGTGCCGTATCGAATACAATCAAAGCAGTAGATAGAGAAGTGACAAACTATTATCATTTAATGAGAATATTGAATGTATTATGCATTTAACCTGCAGTTCGTTTTTCAGTAACAAGATGTTCATTGAAACGGATCTATTGAGTGAAACACGCAATTTGTTGGAAATTCATGATTATTATATTTGATTTCGGTTTAGATGAAAAGAACAGTTTTCATTGAGAGTTATTCTAATAGAGAAAATATTCGTTTCTCTGATATGTTAAATGAACTTCGTGCCTCCTACTGTTCGTTCACAGTCTAGTGTTGACATGCGTTGCTTGCTGTTGGGAAATCTATTTTACTAGTGAAACATTCGTTTTTTTCTCATGAATATCTATCTTGTTTTTTAAATGTATAGTAGATATAATTTGACGTCGATACAATTCGATATTTTGCGATTGATAATAAATAGAGAACTTAACTAGAAGATTCCTTTTTGTCTTGTTTTCCATCAAGCAGAACATCATTATTCAATGGTTCTGTTCCCCAGAACAGAGGACAAAGCACAAAAATACTCATCGTTGCACAATGAAGGAGTCGTCAATGCCTAGCCTGCAGAACAATCGTTTAATTATAGTTATGCAGAAAAAAATAAACATATTCCAACAACAATAATATATTAATGACAATTCAACTAAACTACGTATTATTACAGAATGTCATCTTCTCAAGACGGCTACTGTTTACTAATGAAAAATGACCGTGAATTACATGATGAATGTATTCGTTGTTGTATCTGTCTTGCTGCTATATCCTCGGATGTGTTAACTTGATTTTCATACTAGAATTGAGGTCTTTCACCTAGAATTTTTTATTATCAGCCACTTCTTTGCATGTCAAAGTTTTCAAATCGTCAAAATCCCTTGTCCAACACAATTTCATGGTGTATGTCAAAATGAATTGTTCTTTAATCTATCTTGCGTGTATCTAGGCAAGTGCATAAATGCGTTATTTATCAATGATGAAGATGATAATTAAAGAACTAAAATGTATGACAATCAACTAAGAAAATTACACAGGCACAAGATATGCAATAAGAGCAAATTATGCACACAAAACATAGATAAAACATAAAATGAAAAAAAAAAGCAGCGACTTTCTGTTATATGTTTCTGACTAGAAGTAAAATGATATAAAAAAAAAAGAAGAAGAAAAGATATGGTGAATATTGTTATTTTAACGAAGACTAGTTCCTACTAAATATTTTTCGCTATTTCCACCGGTAACAGCACTGCTACTAATTAATAAATTTTCCATTGGGTTTCGTACAACAATTGAAAGTCGACCTGCTTTAAGTCCAACCTTGAAAACAGAAAAAAAAACAAGAATAAACAATTATTATATAAAAAGAAAAAGGAAGAAATAAACCGAGAAAATTTCATTTATAATATTAATTATGTTGAAATAGAATAAAAGCAAACAAAAGGATACAAGCTATCGATGGTATTGGCAATCACAAGCATATCTGTTCCTTTCTTTTTTTCAATCCAAGCATAATAACTATATATTTGTGTAATAAATGCGAGTCAATTAGGGTCTAAGGCAGTAAACATCAAACGTCATGAATCTATCTGTAGTATCTTTTTTTTCTGGATGAATAAATGGAAAAAAAGGCTTGGCGCAATGAAATACAAAGGGGAAAACGGGATCAGACAGGCAGATTAAAATGATGGATTAAATATGCATAAATGTATGCCGAAGATTTATTACAAGTGCATTCGCTCGGTTTTCTTTATCAGTATTTTTTCGACAACTAAAAACAAAATAATTATAAAGAACAATAACGAGCGTAGTAGAGCAAGAATATAAATCTACATCACTGTAAAATAATGAAATTTTCTTGTTAAATTAGTTATTCTTTATGTGTACATACGTGTCATTAAAATGAAAAATATCCGATCGACGAAAACTTACTTTTTTCTTGCCACCTAATAGCAATTCTTTGTAAGTTTCTGAACGCAGAAATCGAGCATATGTATCACGATTCATTAGATTAAAGATGTGATCCTGTGCAAAACGAAATATTGAAATTTCCTCAAAAAAAGAAGAATATCAAATAACCTGAGCTTCATCAAACGTATATCGATTAGGATAATTATTCATATTATTTTTGGTTAAATTCATGACACGCTGATCAATGTTTATAGAGTAGTAAGCACCTAGAATAAAAACAAACAGATGTATCGAGTGAGTCATTTTTGTTTTCATTATTTTTATTTTACCTGGTGAAAGAAATTCATTATAGATTTCCTTAACACGATTAAGCACATCCTTTTGTGAAGTGTGAAAACGTAATTGTATAGATGCTTCGTAGAAACGTAAATTTTCACTTGAATATTCTTTATCGAGAAATTTCCAAAATAGATCACGACCTATAGGATCTTTTAGTAGTTCATTGATTGAAAAACTCCAACGTTTAACACGTCTTGATGATATGTCTTTTAAACTAACAGCCTTTTCTAACTCCCATAGATCAATGCAATCGGTTATCCCTAGAAAATATAGAGAAATAAAAAATTTTCAACAAGAATGCATCTAACTCTCACAAAAGACTGAACATAATTCGAGCTTTCTAAATGTTAAGATATTTCATTTTCTAGTAGACTCAATTTCTCTGTCGCCTTATGATAATTTGATATATTACTTTTCCGGAAAAGGAAATATCTCAAGAAACAAAAGTAAAAAAGTTTAATACTCTCTACAGGCAAATCTTTAGGATTTCCTAGATGAAATAATAAGAATTCTTTCATACATGGATTCGATGGTTCACATAGAGTAATAAATGGATCGAATTCAGCGTATTGTTCAAAATATGAAACTGAAGTTTCCGACACTTTAGATGTTTTTACACATCGTCGTTCGATTCGAAGTTTGAGAAATTGAATTTCTTTATATAATTGATCAATTAATAAAGCTTCGTCACATTCGCGTAAAATCGATGGTCGATTTTCGGAAGAACTATTTGATTGATTGAAACTTGTTGATGTTGCCGTCGGCGATTCTGTTGTTAATAGACCAACGGTCATGGTAATAAAACTTTTATTAGCAGCAAATGCAAGAGCAGATGCAGGTGCTGTATTTACTGTTGATGCTATGGAAGATTTTCTATACGCCTCAATTAATAAACGTGGATTTATATAGCTTGTTTTTCGTCGTAATAATTTTTTAATATCTTGTTCAGTTGAATTTATGCATCCAGGCGCTGGTCGATAAACATCCCAAAAGGCACGTTCTTGTGAATCGAGTACATTTCGTTCGAATTTATCGCGTTTTTTATCAACTCTATTTTACAAAAGAAAATTGTTCGTAGAATAAATAAATCAATGTGTTGTCTTTTTCGTACTTTATTTGTGCTTCAGCTTGCATGTAAATGAATTCCCATTTACGTGCAAATAATTTTTGTAGTCGGGCTAAATTTTCAGCTTCATAATCAGCTAATTCTAATCGAGTTTTATTTTGCATTGTTCGTTTACATAAATATACAGCTAAATATTAAAAAAGAGCGAATAGATTGAATGAAAAACAAAACTGGGTAATTATTACCGTAGTCAATATTATCTGCTTCAGCATGATTCGAAGGCCAAAAATAAGGAGTCTAGAAGAGAAAAATTAATAAAAATCGATGTGTTATAGAACTTATACCTGAAAACGATAAAACGTTCCATCATTTTTCACAGTTAAAACATGATCTTCAATTGGAAGAATCTAAATAATGAAGAAAAGAAGAAGAAAAATTCTTCTTTTGTGTTTAAACAAACGGATAATCTTACATAGCCATATGAAGACATAAGATTAACCAGATGAAGAGCTTCAGCTAAAAAGAAGATGATTAGCAAAAGGCTAGAATATTCAACTCGTATGCGGTTTTTTATCCTTATTAAGTTAATCTAGAATACACTACACGAGAGGGAAAAACCTCCAACAGAATACTGATGATAGTTGTGTGTAGAGCAAGACGTTGTACTGCCCTTTGGCTTTTATGAACAACATTTTTAATTTTATTTAGAATCTTATGAATCGAAACACACGAAATTTATTTTACCTGTATCATCGACATCAAGTGTTTTCAAAACCCATTGTATTAAATCTCCACCAGTGAAAACACTGGGAATCTTCGACATGAAACTTTTGACTGATTTTATTGGTAGACCGCTATTTTCATCTTGCATTCGCTCAAGTAAGGATTCGATCTATAAAGAATTGTTTATAGGCAATGTAAAATAATATATTTTTTTTCAAATTACTCTTCGATATGTGTATAGATTGGGAATTTCATATTCCCGATTGATTCCTTCAGTTAAACTGGAATTATTATTCGTTGTGAGAAAATCATTTGTAGCTGGTATATTGCCGCCGACGGTTCCAATGGATTCATTCAAAGTTGTTTGTTCATCGGGATCATTTTGAGTAATAATGGATGTTGTAGGTGGTGCATTTATGCGAACCATTCCGATATTTAGTTGGTCGCTTATCGAGTCATCATCGGTAAAAGACGCTCGAACTCGAGCGGCCATTCAATGATAACATGAGGCAACCATGGCGAACTACATTTTCTAGAACAAAGAAATAAAAGGGTAGAAGAAATTAGATTTTCGATGCGCTTGTTTTCACGAACAACATGTAAAAGGCAGATGTAGAACAACACAGATTGAAATCTAAGTAAGTAAATAAGAAGAAAAAAAACAAGACCAGAGCTTGTGAATCATTAAAATAAGTTTTTTCTATATATATTTTTCGAATTTTCTCAACCATTCGTTGGAGCTAAACGATCAATAAAAGCCATTGCATTAAAACAAAGTCGTGCAATAACCGATGGACATGCTGGTTTATTACACAAATATTCCACACTTTGACGAAGTTCATAAAACATATTTTTTGTATAAGGATTTCTTTGTGACGTATAACGCAATGTAAGAAATCGATAATACATAAATAATAAAAGAAAATTTGAAAGCGAAACAAATATCGATAAAATTAATATTGGCATAAGTACTATTTCATTTAATGCAACAAATCTTAATAGACTAATTTGATTGTCTGTCACACGAATACACAATTGTTGTATGGCTGGAAAACGAATTAAAATTTGTGATAAAAATGAACATGAATGTAAAAGAGCATAGGCTGCTATTGGTATAAGAACAATAGTCATGGGTGTACTACTTAAGAATAAAAATGAATACATTAAATAATGTGCACTATCTTCCCGAAAGAGATTAAATAGAAACACTCTTGATAATTCAAAATTTGGCAAACGTTGCCGAAGTCGTAATACTGATGTTACAATTGCAGATAGTAATGCTTTTGTATAATAAACATTTGATTCGGCATGAAAGAATGGTAAAACAAACATAATGGTATAAAATATGGTTGCTAATCGTGATAATAGCAGAACAGAATCGGTTTTACGTTCAAGTAAAACATTAATTATTGAAGGTGAAGATGGAGGGGGATGCGGCGGCGGTGGTGCTGTTGGTGTTGATGATGAAGAAGCAGTTGACGATGCCTCGTTTGTTGGGGTTGGTGATGAATCAGAATTATTGGAAACATCTTCAACGAGTACCATCGTTTTAATTGAATGTGTATGTTTATTTAGATCTTGCAAATGTCAATTATACGATAGAACAACAAACGGCGTTTCACAAGCGTTAGCATCAACGTGTCGATAATGTTGCATGTGGCGACTAACAGACTTATTTTGATTGAATATTTTATTATGTTAATAGTAAAATTTTGCGATTTTTATTTAAGAAATATTCGTCTTTTAGTCAGAAATAGAATGAAATTCGATAGTAGCGACTCTATGGTTTTTATTGGTGTCTAAGAAGAAGTAGAAAACAATTCTTACTGTGCTATTTTCCAATCAAGATCATGCCAACGACATCATCACAATGTACATCAATTGAGAATGCATTATCGATATAAAAATTTAGCAATATAAAAAGAACTGAATAGCAAACTATAATAGGCGCAGCAGGTGTTGTGAGAGAAAATAGTGTTAGAATTTTCGTATTTAAAAAATCGTTCTCATATTAAATTATTTGTAGATTAGAGAGAGAGAGAGAGAGAGAGAGAGAGAGTGCTTTCTGTTAGTTTGGAAATCAATGTGCTGCGAACATATTACTTACGAAAGCTCTTATCGAACAAAAAATTTCATATAGAGAAACACTTACTCTTTCTATTTCTGTAATTCAAATGTATTGTACTGGAGGAATGTCTAAACGTCATCTTCAAGGTTTTATTAGTCGTTCGCAATCGGCGAGTCTCATAGAAAACGTTCTAGTTCAATCTTTTTAAAACCGGTGCTAGTTTTCTCAAACATCAGAAAGTTTGGATTTGAAAGTTTCAATCTAGACAAGATAAAAAAAAATGGCATAACTTTGTATCTATTTGTACCAAAATAATATATAAGTTGATTGAATTATTATTTGTTTGCCATGCACTGGAAATAATCGTCTATGTATAAACACTTTGTAGGATCAATATGCCTCAGCTCGAAGTTTATATGATGAAAATATGACGCCAATATGAATATTATCGTTGCGACTTTCAACATGCAATCGGAATATATTTTTCTTTTAGCAAAGTGCAAGACGTTTAGTCTTTTTTCTTCTTTTTTTATACTGAAGACAAAACGAAATTGCTTGCGGAGGCGGATCTATTAATGACAATAGTTCTAGATTAATAAAATCGTTACATTAGGGAAATTCATAATTTATTTTTGGAATACGCTGCTGTGTGATAAAAGCATTTTCTCAGCTACAATAAATGGAGTCCGTACATTTGAAAGATTAGTCGGAATATTAGTAAAGGTATTTTTATTCGGAAATATTTAATTTTTAGATTTACTACTAAATTGATATTCTATTTTATGTAAAATTGCAACGAATAGAAAACAATAAGATCGGAATAATTATTATTAATAAAATAAATGGAAGACAAAATTTTTCAATTGATAGAATAATAGCAATTAGCCGAACTGTGATATTCGCAATTTTAGATCAATAGGAAAAAAGAACAAAGCTTTCATAAATATCTAAGTTTAATTAGTACTAGATAAATTTATTCCGATAGTTTTTCTGAATGGTTGTTTCTTCTTCTTGTAATCTACTCGAGACAGATGTTTCTTTTTAGAAGCATCCAGGCTTGCGTGCATTATGATAATAAATAATATTTCGATTTTATTTCGTTTGCTATGAAGTGGTACATTTCGAAGTGTTCTCAATCGATTACTGTAAAGAAAACAGTTGCTTGCAATAAAAGTTTATCTTAAAAACAACACATGTTGTTTTTGTATGTAACTTAAAAAGCTTCAATATCAACAATGTTTGCGGAAAAGCAACGCTATTTTGCATTAAGATCTCGCTTTGATTTCAGTAGTTTTTACGAAACTCATCCGAATAGTAAAGCTCTAATAATAAAAATAGGAGATACATGATGTCAGAAGGTCACGCGATGTTTTCTCACGCGTCGCTAGCCACGAACATCTTGCTATCATGGATAAACTACTTGCTCATTAAATTTCTAAAGAATTTATTGTAATGAAAGTTTCCTGAAATAAATTGAGCGAAATAAATATAATATAACTAGCAGTAGAAGCTACACATTTTAATTGCCAAAATCAAAAATAATTACAGGAGTACTTCAAGTTTATGAAGACATTCGCTTCACTCATCAAGTTCTGGTCACGGATAAAACTAACGCTCATGAGCTGTTGTTCAGAGATCGCGAAAAAAATAGAAAAGGGGACAGTCATTGGCGGAGAGATATAAATTTGCGCCTGGCTAGTTCACTGTATAAGTACACATCAACATTGCGTATTTTTTTATATGCTATTCGCACATAAAATACATGAGCGAAGAAGACGAACGCCTGTTTTATTGCTTATTTGAGTAGAAAGAAAAGAAAGAGAAAAAAGTTGAAGCGCAACAACGTAAAAGAAACGAAAAAAGAGGAAAAAAAAAAACGTGATTTCGATCACAATTTGATGAAAAGTAAGAAACAAGATTGCAGGTATACAATAAAATCGACACTAACACTCTAACTGTAGGCACTTCGTACGAGCAGTTCTTAATAAATTAGATCGATTTCATCATGCTCTTGCCTGTTGCTCTACTCATAAACAACATCATCTTGTTTATACTCGAAACTGTGGGTTATCATGCTTGTCACAGTGGTAAGAACATATTATGATTAATGACGAGCATAATTCTATTTTTTGTTCATTAGTGGTAATGCTTCTTGATGGTTATTATCATCTTTGTCAAGCTATTCTATGCACAGTACGAATTGTTTCACGAAGAGTAAGTTACAAAAAAAAAAATATATATACGGATTTAATACTTTTACACCATATAATAGATTCAATTTACATATACATCTCGACAAACATATGGATTAGCTCGAGGTAAAAATTCGATTGTGATAAAAGAAAAACTAGTATAGTCTTCTTAATTTATAATCAGTCGGTGTTGTCGGTGAATTGGTTGCTTTCGTTAGTTTTCTTTCATTGTCTATTTCGGTGTTTCTCGAAAGCATTAAACATTTAATTGACGTCGTTTTTATTATACCAAAACGAGAAAGCAACAGTTCAGCGATATTTACTGCTCATGGTCATGGTATGTTTCTATAGGAAAAATCGAGTGTATTTTTTTCGATAAAAAATGTTTTCTTTAGAACATATACACAGTCTAATTGATCATCCGTATTTTATTCTTGGCATCGGAATTTACGCTACTATTTCAAATTGTTCACTAGGACTCATAAGACTTTGTAAGTACGACTCGAATTTGAATCCTCTACAGAAATAACAAAATGATTTAGATATTGTTATAAAACGTTCAATTAAAATGAACAGGCAATTAAAACAGCGACGACCAAGTTTAAAACAGCCCTTACCAAAAACACTAATATCAAAATCATGTATGTACGAACGAATGAATCGGATTTTTCGAAATACTTTTCCTATTCTAGTGCTTATAACCGACACGTTATCAGTTCGTCATTCCTATCTTCAAATTTTGAATATGTTACTTGGTCCGTTGACTATATTAGCATGCGGAATTTTATTGGTACTCTTACCAGAGAAACACGACGCTCGAGTATTATTCAGTCGACTTGTTGATCCTACGATTTGCTGTTTTCTTTTTCTATCCTACTTATTTATGATTTCTATTCCCAGTATGAAGACGCAATTCATTATAGTTTATTAAATATTTTGTTTTTCTAGTGCGTGATGTCATGCATCTCGTTCTACAGGCCAATCCATGCAATCTTAAAGTAGATCAAGTTGAAAATTTACTCCGTGATTCTGTTTGTAATCATTTGACTTTATTTGACTGGAAAAAAACTAATACACAACTTGAAATTTTTCGTGTTAGGTTCCTGGTATATCCAGTATTCATGAACTGCATATTTGGCGATTGACACCACAGAAAACTTTAGCAACAGTTCATGTTGTATTTAATACAACGGAAAATATCATAACGAAATATCAAGATATTAACTTCATATTTGAAACGCTTCATATCGATCATGTTACAATACAACCGGAATTTGCATTGGTCTAGTTGTTTTTTAATTTATTTTTGTCGTTGACTTTTTTCTTTAATTTATTTAGCCTACGGATGAATTTGCAAAACTTGGTTGCCATTATCAATGTGTGTCTAATAATACGGAATGTGGTCCGTTACAATGTTGTGAAGCGTTGCCAGTTAGTCATTCATGCTGAGTCAAATTAGATATGATAAGGTGAACCTGTTCTTTGAAAGCTAACAATTCAATTATGATCTTTCGTCTGATTTTTATTCTTCGACTGTTGAACTTTCAAGATTTAAAACGATTAAAAAAAGTAATAGCAATGTTATTTTCTAGTTATAGGTTTATAGTTATTGTATTTTGCTCTTGTGATAAAATAAATCATAAACAAAGAACTGCAAGAACAAATTGACTATTCATCACTATCGTAGTCAAAGACAGCGATCATTTGAATCTTCATTTCAGAAGAAAACTTTTCAACAATAAGGGTCAGCTTGAATTAGGCGGGGAACAAAACTTTCGTCAGATTCATTTAGTGGACTTCTGCTTCCACCTCTCTGTTTATTTCAAACAAGTGCAATCCTTTCTTAGATCTAAAAATTATAATATGACAAGCAAGACTATTGATCAGTTTAAACATCGTTTCTGTGAAACACAATCTGAAAGGAGCGTTGAAGTAGATAGGGTAGAAATTTGAATCCATCCCTCGGATCCCCTCCCCACACACCGCTACAGAGAAATTAATTAATTGTTTTCTCTGTAACAGTTTGTGATGGTTTCTAGAGACTCCATACATCATCATACAGGCCGTAACAGAGAAGCTCCATAGACCATCACCGACCGTGATTAACAGATTCCAGAAAAGGAGTTTCATCGTGTTTCACATTTTAGTCCTACAGGGATTGTGCCAACAACTTTTTTTCTTATTTGAAGAACGAAGAGGCTAAGAATATGCTAATTCACATGAGAAAAGAATCATAAATCTACCTCGGCATGATTCACGGGAAAACAATTAGCCGAGTTGCTTGAGTCCAAAATGAAGATATTCGAATATTGTCTTTTACTTCACATGTCAATGTATCGAATCAAATAATTATCTTTCGAGTAATTACATTTGAGATCATTCTATTGACATTTAAACACATAAAACTATATGTAATTCTATCAAGATTTTCATTATTCTTCTTTATCAAAAATCCATCTAGTTCATTCTTATGAATTTTACGGCTCTAATACATTTGAAAAAAACTTTCTATCGATTCATAATGTTGCATTTGGAGGATACTGAAAAAATTGTCTAGGGTTCATCGACATTTCGCAAAAATAAACGACATAATGATCATAGTCAAGATACTTGTTAATATTAATTTATAATGCATAACTATACTTCGTATTAATGAAAAATTCCATGGATAAATATTTTCATATGCTTGACGAAATTTTTCACTTAACCATTTCACATTACCAGTTATTTCTAAAGCAACACTTTGGGCGCGTCCTTGAAAAATAATCTCTTCATAATATCCATGTTTAATAAATAGATTGTTGTCGTCGTTGTTCGATGTCATATTTTGGACTAATTTCGATAATCGAACATCAAAATGAATATTTTTTGTCAGAAGTTCTTTTACATATTTTATCATTCGATCAGAACGTGGCCCATATAACAGAGCACCATCAATATTATTTAAGCCATTAGAATAACTACTCACATGAAGTTTATATTGAAATAAAACATCATAAACATCAAATGAAATTTCATGCGTATCTGGATCAATCATTAAATCATGAATAATCGATTGTAAATAGGTATTAAAACGATAAAATTCATTATTATGTTCAAAAACAATAAGAAATCCAGCAAATTCAAGATTAAAATACCATGGAATAAGTGCTAATGAAAAAAATATACTAGCTGATGATGTTGCCGGAAGATGTTCCCATTGATTTGCTTGACCCCAAATCCATATCGATGGAAATGAATTTCCCCAGTCTTTTTCTATGTAACCAATACCCGAAATAGTCTGTTTTGCATTTTGATTCATTTGCATTGAACCATGAATAGTAGTTTTCATACTAAGAACATGATGATAACATTGCATAGTTGGTATCCACGAATATGGGCCCATGGTGCCTGGTAAAATCCAAAATAAATCGGGTACGAGTAGATTTGATGATAGAGTTAAATTCAGTTGAAAGCTTTCTGTTGCATCGTCATCACTATTTGGTTTAACATCAACGATAAGTTGATCATAGGAGAAAATATTTTTTTTATTATCAATCGTAAAATGGAATTCATCAGTAGACGAGGATATTGTTTCATAGGGAAATCGAAAATAATGCGAAATATTCCCGTAAGCAATCATAATGAATGAATGTCGATTGCTATCATTCATATGCACACCGGGAATAACAACCAATGTATTTTCATAATCATTTAGAACTATTTTGTAATACCAGCCTTCAAAAAAGATTCCCTTTTGAATTTCATGGCCTAGAATAAGCGGCATTTATTAATAATTGTATAAGCTAAAAAAAAATACTTGTACCATGATAGCGATCAGGATGAAAGACAAGCTCGACGGATGAGTAGTTAAAGAGTAAATAGATGAGTGTAGCAAATATACAGACACTCGTTACGAGTCGTAATGCAAACATTCGAGATTTAGGTGAAAAATAGACAGAAGAGAAAAATAGAATAACGACAGGTAGATTCATATACTTTTACGAATTTTATACTCTTTTGGGTTTTCGTCGTTTTATCTTTTGTTCTCTTTCGAGTTTTACAGTGTATGTGCGTTATTCAATGGTGAAATTATGCTTTTTTTCTTTTTTCCTACAAATTGACGTATTTTTTCTATGTTTTAAAGACGTTGCAGTTCTAAAGAACGATGCATTCAAGCCGGAACAAATATATCTTGAATCTGAGAAGTTTGTGTGGGTAGCAAAGGACCGATGAGTCACCGATGTTCCCGAAGATAACTGTCGTGCCATATATTGATAGTAGTCACTGACCAGTCTTTGTAATTTCACACAAAACAAAATAGAATCAAATGACCTCTCTGGAGAAAAGTAAACAAAAATGAAAAAAAGAACGGTGGTTTCTTTAAATAAACATAATTCATGGGAAAAATAAACGAAAACAGTTTAATAGTCATAAAACACATTTTTGCCATTCGATCATGAACACGTACAAATCACATATGAGGTAAAAAATATGAAGGTAAGACACTGCACACGCACACACGAATAACAACAGAAAATTAAGGTGAGTCAAAACAAAATTCCCTATCCACATCGAATTTCAAGAGGAATATAATTTGATATTGATATTGAAAAAGAAGGCACGACATTTTATTGAATCAACATGAAGTTTTATTTTCTTGTTTTTTTTGTGGTGGAAATAATCGATTCAACGTACGAAGAAAATGTGGACTTTCGAAAAGGGAAGCTTTTTCAGGGAACCGGTATGTGTCTTGAGAACCTTTTTGTTTTTGTTTTATAAACAATTTGATTCATGAGCGTTAAATCTTCTAACACAATAGTTTTAAGTTAACATGACATGAGAAAAATATTAGTATCAACAGCTGTTACTTTTAAAATCAAAGGTAAATGAGTAATCATCCACAGAACACTACTAATGATTGATTGCTAAAGATGTTGTCCTTCTATTCAGCTTACATTTAATAGTTGATGTGACATCAGTAAGCGTAACTTTCTTTGTAACACTTCCTTCTGGTGTTTTGAGATTGAGACTATATTCCTAAATCTTCTATTTCCTATCGACTGCTTCTAGTGACATCTATCAAGATCATTTTTATGATGCGACAAACTATTTAACCATTCATCTAGAGGCATCTGATTCATATCAACTTGGCGACGTTCGAAGAAGAAAGAAAGAAATATTTTGTGTTGATGATCATGATCGAAGAAAAGAAAGACTGCCCATATATTTATTCATCTCCGGTTATATTTGTCATACGATTCAGTGTCTCATATGAGAGAATACGATGACTTATATGCTTGCATAATCTTGTATGTTGAAAAATTTTCTTTTTTTTGCAAATTTTAGATGAACGGTTTCAGCCGTATTCGATCAACATTGCGTCGCACGATTTTCTCATCAAATGGAGCCAATACAAGTCCGAATACAGCACGGCGTGAAGATTTTCCCATATTGAGTCGTCATTTATCATCCTATGAACGTTTCGATTTATCAACGGGTAGTCAAGGAGCATCAACAGCATCTTTACAAAATATAAATTCCATTAATAACTCATTACCACATGCGCCAGTTATTGAAACAACCAATGAAGGAGTTGAATTTCTATCGCATAATTCTAAACGGACTCTACGTACAATACCAGGAGTATTTTGTCCTATTGCTTTATCAATGTTTTCAATATCATTATTTATGCGTATTGGTTTTGTTGTTGCATATGCTGGAATTCTACAAGCATTACTACAGCTTGGTCTCTGTTTTCTTATACTTTTTTGTACGTTATTAAGTGTTTGCTCATTGGCAACAAATGGAGCTATTGAAGGTGGTGGCGTCTATCATATGATATCGCGAGCATTGGGACCGGAATTCGGTGGATCAATAGGCGTTCTTTTTTTCTTTGCGAATGTTATCGGTAATGGTCAAAGTGTTGCAGCTCTTGTTGAAGCTTTAGTCGATAGCTTTGGACCAGGAAGTAAAGCAAGCGCTTTTCAAGATTCTCATTGGTGGAGATTTTTATATGGAACAATAATTAATATTATAAGTCTTATCACGTGTTTGTTTGGTTCATCATTATTTTCTATGGCAACATTTTTTATATTTATTCTTGTTAGTTTTGTTTATCTTATGGTTGTCGTTTCATTTTTCGTCAAAGGTTCACAAGATGTAATCATACCAAAAGTTAATGCATACGCCTATGAACATCCTCCATACGCTATAAATGCATCTGACTTTCTCTATGGACATTATACAGGTTTTAGTGCTGCAACATTTCGAGAAAATACCTATGCTAACTATACTATTGATTATACAACTGGTGATGTAATGAATTTTGCGACTGTTTTCGGTGTACTCTTCTCGAGTATAACTGGTTTATTGGCTGGAGCTAATATGTCAGGTAAAGAAAAAAGATGATTTTCATACGATTAAAAACAGTTCGTTTATTCACGATCAGAAAATTACAGAAAAAAAGCTTGAACGTTGTTTTGCCTAATTTTACGACTCACACTTAGAAAAGCTATAGTAAGACCAATATTTTTCTCTCATGTTATCTTCTCAGAACGAGCCACGCGCAGAAATAATGTAATTTGATATGAATAGAGTTGTGCTCACTACGAAAGGATAAGAAAAATCAGTATGTTTCCTTTAGACAAAAGCGAAAATTTAATTTTATGCTTTATTGTAGGAGAATTGAAGCGACCAAGTCGAAGTATTCCAATTGGTTCTATTGCTGCTATATTTTTTGTATTTTTTATATTTATTACTGAAACATTACTCATGGCAGCGACCACCGACCGGTTTGTTGAAATTTTATTTTTTTCAAATTTTTTATTTTTTCTCTTTTGTTTTAGTTATACATTGACTAACAATTATTTATTTTTACAAGATGTTAATATTTGGGCACCATTTGTAATTATTGGAATCATAGCTGCAGTGTTTTCCGCTTGTTTATCTGGACTTATTGGTGCATCGAGAATTTTAGAGGCACTAGCAGTAGATGAAATTTTTGGTATGAATTTATTTCTCTGTCGCTTAGAGATAGTTTTTTATACGAAGAATACATTGTTGAAACAAGTAGAGTATTCCATAGGATGGAAAGTGTCGATCGTGTTTTAGATTAACAATGACCTCGATTTCAAGATCATTATGGGTTGACAGCGTGGGAAAATAAGAGGACATGAAAAGCTGACATAAAATCTAGACGTATTTCTCTATCTAACTGATTTATCATTTTCAATTACGCCACGAGAAAAATTGATACGTTTATGAATACTTTATCTACGTAAATTAATTCAAACAGTCATTATCTCTATCCAGATGTTAGAAAAAATAATACAAAAGAAGTGATGAGTGTTGATGAAAATTTTCGATTGAGTTCAATATGCGTGAAATGAGAATAATAAAATAGTTCGAATATTTAATCTATGATGATTGCTTTGTTATTTAGGGTCAGTACTTAGTTGGATTCGTGCTGGAACAACTCGTCACGGTAATCCATGGGCTGCTGTTATATTTACGTTTATACTCGTGCAAGTAAGCTCGATATTAAAAAAAATGGTTCTGTTTTGAAGCATAGTTTTCAATTTTGTTTTAGTTAACTTTATTCATTGGTTCAATGAATAAAATTGCACCGATTGTAACCATATTTTTTCTTCTTGCCTATTTTGCGGTTAATTTATCCTGTTTGGCACTTGATTTAGCATCGGCGCCAAACTTTCGACCAACATTTAAATATTTTTCATGGCATACTGCTTTACTAGGTGCTGTAGGATCGATCATCATGTGTTTTATAGTATCCGCTGCTTATGCTTCTATTGCTATTGGAATTTTAATCGGTTTTATTTGTATGCTACATTTAAGAGATTTCCCCCGAGCTTCATGGGGTTCAATTTCACAGGCTCTTATATTTCATCAGGTTCAATTTTCAATATCGAAAAATTGCTTTTGCTTATTTTTTAATTGGAATTTTTCAGGTTCGAAAATATCTTCTGCTACTTGATCCACGTAAAGAACATGTGAAGTTTTGGCGACCACAAATGCTATTGCTTGTTGCTAATCCACGTTCATCTATTAATCTAATTGATTTTGTTAATGACATGAAAAAAGGTGGCCTTTTCATATTAGGTCATGTTAAAACAGGACAAATGGACACTGGCTCAGCTGATCTTTGTTCACAAGAATATCCCTATTGGGTTGCATTAATAGATAATATGAAAATCAAAGCATTTGTTGATATGACATTGGCACCAACGATTCGCGATGGTGTGCTACAATTAATGCGATTATCAGGATTAGGTAAATATTGAATATCGGAGTTGGATGTGAGAACATGATTCGCTTAGTTCTTTACAAAATCTAATCGAATCTATAGCCGACGCGCAAAATATGTATTAGTGAACTGTTGTTTGAATAAATGTTTTCTTTTTACTAGGTGGTCTTCGTCCAAACACGGTTATTCTTGGCTTTTATGATAGCGCTTTGCCCGAAGATAAATTACGTAATCGTGCATTCTTTAAACGACGTTGGCTTAAATCTAGCACACCTGTCAATCCAATGACTGCACCAACCTTTCATCAACAACCAATAATTCAATCGGGTGTTATGGAAGGTGCTAGTACGATAACATTGCATTCTTTTAATAGTTCAGCTGCAATCAATGGCAATGATATGTTTCCTATATTTAATTTTGGAGGTAAAGATAAATAGTTTTCTTTCATGGGAATTTTGTATTATCTAAATTAATTCATTTAGAATTACGCCAGGAAGACGAAGATAAAGAACTTGATGTTTATTCCTATGTTCAAATTATCAAAGATGCACTTAATCTAAATAAAAGTATATGTCTGGCACGAAATTTTCATCAACTACAAAAAGATGATATTGAAGTAAATAAACGAAAAGTTTTTGTCGACATTTGGCCAGTAAGTCTACGATTAGAATCCTCTCGGACTCGAATTTCAAAATAAAAATAAATATTTATTTGCGTTTCCATTAAGGTTAATTTTATCTTTCCGGAAACTTCCACTCAATTCGATGTTACATGTCTTTATATGCTTCAATTAGCTACAATTCTATCGATGGTCAAACCATGGAAAACCCGTGCTACACTTCGTGTTTTTCTATGCATTGATGCAATCAACGACAATGCACTTCGTACTCAACAACATCTCGATGAACTACTCAGTCAACTTCGTATCAATGCTCAAACACGAATGATCGCTTGGGAAAATGTAACAAGTCTATTAAATAATACATCAACAATAAACGATAGCGCAGCAACAATACCAGTCGAACAACAAGCAACAACAACAGGGATCGCAGCGGCAACAACAAACTCATTTATTGACATAAGCGATGTTTATGTTCGCGGTGTTAATGAACTTATTCGACAACAATGTGACAGTACATCATGCCTCTATTTATATTTACCTCGGCCACCGAAAGATAAAAACCTTTCGCCACGCTATATGCGCGTTCTCGATCTATTGTCACATGATCTGCCACCTGTTATGTTTGTACATGGTGTTTCATCTGTGACATGCACTCAATTATAATTTTCTATTAAAAAACGTTTCGTGTCAGAATATTTCGTATCTGTCTTTTAATCTCTTTTATTTTGTTTCGCTTTCTTGTTTATTGACTTATTTAATAAGTGTTTTGTCTTATTTGTCTGAATGGTTTTTCTTTATTTGCACTAATAATAATCTTTGTATGTGTTCTTGTTTTTGTTTTCTGTGTGTGTCTATTTAAGATGTCACATTCTCAACCTATTATATTTAATAATGAATGGTCAATTAGTACGACGCATGGTTCAATATTATCATCGGAAGGGTCAATACGTCAAGAATATGAACAAGATTTAAAAACAACTCATCTACCCGAAATGATATTCGATAAAACAACATTAAAAATAATTCATTTAGAGAATAATTTTGAAATTCGATTCAATGCATTCGATGCATTGAAATCTATTGATATGTATAATAATCTAGAACATGTTCCTAAAGTATCAATGAGTGACGTGTGGACAAAATCGCGTAGTAAAGATAGAGAATTGGATTATGTTAAACCGTATGATTGGACATATACAACGAAATATAAAGGTAATATTGTCAAATATCAATATTTATAGACTTAATTGATTATTTGTTTAAATCAAATTGAATATAAGATAGTCACAGTGATATAGTTTTTTCCAGTAGGGTCTCAAAAAACATGATGCTCATGACAGTTGCATCAATCCGGACTCGTACGGATTTTAAATGCTAAGTCAAAAATTAATCTCCATTGAGTTGACAATTAAGAATAGACTCTTTCTAGTTTCTCCGAGGATCTTTATTTTAATGATATCTAGTGTGTCGACTCATAAGAAAATGGATTTTACGTTATCGAGATTTTAAATAAGTATGACTTTATTTGTTATTAAATATTTCGTGATGAAAGACATTTCTTTTTGACCTTTAGTAAGGAAAATAATCTTGAAGTAAAACAAACCTGTACTGAATATTCTCTATTGTGTTTCGAGAGAAAATTATCAAATTCAATACTGAGTTTTCATAGTCCTATCGTAGAATAGGAATCTCATGTGATTTAATATGTCCCTTATTATTGCAATATAATCGCCGAGATACCATGGAATTCTCCAGGATAAACGAAGATATGCTTAGTTTATAGATCCAACTAGTTCACACCTACAAGTAATTTATTATTTCTATTAGATGTTTATCAAGTCAAATTGATAGTAATATTACCAGTGAAATATTTAAATGTGACAAATCTCTTCCACTAACAGAAGTTTTCATGCTAATTAATGGATTATTTGTGTGAAATGTTTTTTTATTCCTGTTTAGGGACTCTATGTTCGTCGGGTGCTAGTAGTTGGCGTATTGAATCAACAAATCAACAGCTTGACTTAGAAAAACTCAAACGTCAAGAACCAATATTATTCTATGATGAATTAACACTTTATGAAGATGAACTGGCCGATAATGGTACATCAAATTTAACATTGAAAATACGTTGCATGCCTAGCGGATTTTTCATTCTACTTCGATTTTTCATGCGCGTCGATGGTGTATTGGCTCGATGTTTCGATACTCGTTATCATTATGAAGTTGGAAAGAACTATGTATTACGAGAATATGTTGAACGTGAATCACCGATATCATCACTTAAACCAGAATTTCAATCAACGTCAGATGACAATGCAGTTATAGCAGAATTGAAAACCAATTTACAACAATTAGAAAAACTTTTTTTTAAAGAATCTATTTGATGTTTTCATGAAAAGGAAAGTAACTTTCTCTAATTAAACTACGTATATATAAAAAAAAATAAAACAAGCATTTATAATATAATCAATGTACATAAATTTTAAGGGTGTAGATGTTTGTTTTAAAGAAAACAAAACACCCACTCTACTTCTATAGTAGAGTCCTGCACTGGTGCAACTTTTCGCGTACCCAGAACCGCCAGGACCTGATGGTCATAGACCCGGGCAACTATACCCAGCACCCTGCCGGGTTGTAATCAAAACTTGACTGATAGTTTAAAAAGTAAGTTGATCTCAATGAGATCAACTTTTCAAACTTTTATTTTACATGATAAATTATTTTACACAATACAAAACGCTATTTTTATTTTCATCAATTAACAAAGAATCATCTAACATTTCTTAAAATCACGACTGAATCAAGAGAATCGGGTTAAAAAAGGTAGCTATCACACTTGGCGAAGTTTCTTTAACATAAATAAAACAATGTTGATCGTGCTGTCTAAAAAAATCGGTTTATTACCGGACCTATATCCAGGATAAGAATCTTGGAGGTTTTGTACCTATTTCCGGAACCTAAACGGTTTAGCAGACCAAGACCGAAGCTTTCTCAGGTTCTTATTCTGGATATAGGTTCGGTAATAAATCCATTTTTGTTAGTGTCAGGTAGATTAGATGACCCATCATGGCTATTGAATACATCTGTGAATTATAACTCAATAGGATTCAAACTCCTGTCTCTGCTATTGAGAATGATCTGAGGAATTTGATGGTTTTTTTCTATATCTGATTGCTTGACCGGTCGGGTGCAGGGTTTTTAAAAATTCCTCAGCTCGACCCGGATCTTTGCTCGGATTCAGGCGTCGGGTGCCGGTTACCCGGCCCGGCTGCAGTACTCTACCTGCAGCTCAATTTTCAGTTAACTCCCATAAAATACTAAATGGTACTTGCGTTGTAACGTGTCTAAGGAAGTTTAGGATAGTCATGATTGCTCTAATAAAGATACTAATGCTAAATGAGAATTTCTTTATTGAAATATATGCATGTTCATACGCCTCGACTGGCAAATAGATAGAAATATCCTTACGTTATTTTATGGCTAAAATCTAGAATGAATGCTATAGATGAGCTTTGAATATCTAGAAGAAAATTAGGACTTACGTGACGATATTACCGTGGAAAATATCCCTTCAAAGTACGTTCGCAAGTCTTTTCAATATCTTGAAAACATGAAAGAAGTAGACTGTATTCTTTATGAGATAATGAATCTACAGAAAAGTGCGATTCTGTTACTCAGCCAATAGGAAGGGTAGCTTTAGTCAATACCCTAAGTAAATAATCCAATTCGCTCAGAGTTTCAGGATATTCTTGTAATTTTGTTATATAAACGAAAGGAAATGTTCAGATGAAATAGTGTTATTAACTTTTCCACTCAAGGCAGTTTCTGCTGGAAATCTCAATCAATACAGTATAATTTAAAAAGGATAACATATACGCCTAAATCGATCCACGCGTGCATCATCGATGGAACCACTCTGAAGAGGTCAAACCGACTCATCGGTAATCGGCCTGGCTCGCGATACTGGCCGGTCTCAAATCGGTACCGGTTCCATCTCTGATGTATAATATTCTCCTACGGTTTTATTGCTTAAAAAACTATAGTAGCTTGGTTGCTAATTATTACTTAGAAGACTCCCTCGTTCATATCAGTGTTGTACTAAAATGATATAAGTATAGCAATTTTGAATAATAAGTGCATGCTCTAAGAATATGCATAATATTTCATCTTATGTTCATTTGCTTCAGTGTCGTTTTTCTATCTGGCATCGATCACACAGGTAACTGACATATTGCAACGATTGTCTTTAACTTTCTAAATTTTAATCGCTTATTGAGAACACAAATGATGACGCGTATACATGGATATTTGTTCAAACAACAAATTAAAGTTATAGTAGCGATTTTGACTGTTATCAGTGCAGGCGATTGTAATATCATTTGTAACAATGGCGAGTCAGTATGTGGCTACCGCTGTTACAGTCCTCAAATTCAACAATGTTTACATCAACAGTATCAAGGAATACCTGTTGTGAATTCTTTCATCATATGTGGAAAAGATCAACAATTGTGTGGTGCCAGATGTTATACGCCAGGCAGTCAAAACTGCAGAAATTAATAAATCATAGTTTCGGACAATCTTCTATTCTCTTAAAAAGTTAAGGCATTCTTAATTCAAGCGATTGTTTTTTTCAACTTATCATTGCGTGGTCTTCAGCTGATAAAGTTTTAAATCGCTCTTTTCTCTATTATAGCACTATTGAGAGCATCAGTTTGGGTTTCGATGATATGTGTATGGGATGTACGCGTGAGGATGGGTGTAGACAAGAGTGTAACTATTTGGTTCTCATTTGAGTGGTTGGGCGCCAATGATAGTAAATATACATTATCGTGTCTGTGTTTCCATGTTTGCACATATTGGTATGAAATGTAGTCTTATAGTTCCTATCCTTCGGGCTAGACTTATATAATATTGGCGATTTTACGTTGTATCACAACGTTGATAATTTAAGGCTTGATCACTGTGAGTGTTAGATTGAGCGGAGAATTGCAAATGTGGACATGTTTGAGAAAGTGATCTTTTTTGTCCTCACTCACAATGCACTGTGATTTCTCAAGCGAATGGAATTTTCGGGACTACGTGGCCAAGGGGGGAAAAGCGTATTTCTATGTATTTCTGTATCTCTGCAATACACAGAAATACACAGAAATACGTAGAAATACATAGAAATACACAGAAAGTACTTCGAAATAGATGGAAATACAGAAATACGCTTTTCCCCCCTTGGTTAAAGTTCACCTAGAATATATGTACGTATATAAATCAAATGTGAAACAAATGATTGTTTTTCAATTAACAGATACTTTAGAGATAATTACACAGCTTCTCGTACGTAGATCGGAAAAAGTAATGCTTCTATTTTATGTATCTGATGACAGAATTAAGATTTTTTCCAATCAGAGACGATCGACGTGAAATCTATTTGGCTGTGACAAACGACAAACCAGGATTTCTAGTACGCGGAATTCCGGTTGAATTTTAATCAATAAACACGACGTAGTACAATTACAAAAGTTTATTTTTCTCTAATAGTATGATTTAAACTGTTCTTTCCTTTTAGTGAACAGAAACTCAAGCAAAACAAATCAAGATAGTATCGTTAGGAGAGATCATTCAGTGATTAGATTCTCTTCTTAGAATTTTTGAGAAGGTCATAAAGGATTTTGCAATAATTTCTCTTCATAGAAGCAGAAGGCAAAACTCGATTTATCGTGTAAAAACAGCTTTTGAGAAAAATGCAATTAGCAAAATTATTCATGAAATATGTGAATCTCATTGAATAGAATCATAGAATCGTTCGTGTATGTCAATTGTAGAATTCATTATAGAACGCACATTCAAAGTAAAAATTTCAACTGCGAGCTTCTGATAATGTAGTAGCATATGTTTTCAACTTGAGAAACTCACATCAATTTTCAATTCCGTCTTCTGTGAATATAAATAATTTTATTACCTAGCAACAACTCCACTTGAAGGAGGAAATAGTTAGCTCATTTACGTATTTCGTTTTCCTTCTAATTCTCTGCATTATTTTTATAAATCTTATAATCAGTATTCGTTCCAAATAACACTTGTCCCAATCCGAATACGACGATGGGTGTCAATTGTGACATGTCCAGTAGTTTATGTGCCATAAAACAGCCATGCAAAAACAATGGAACATGTAACGGAACTCACTACAGTTACGATTGTTCATGTCCATGTGGTTTTAATGGTACAGATTGTGAATTTGACTATCGACCTTGTAAACCATATACTTGCCTGAACAATGGTAAGTACATAAACCTTCTTGCTTGATTTTCAATAAAGTACTCGAATGTAATTTCTATTAGGTACATGTAACGCAACATCAGATTCATTGTTTGTTTGCACATGCCTATCTGGTTGGCAAGGTGTTCATTGCGAATCTATAGTAAACTTCTGTGATAATAACTCGTGTTTGAATAATGGCGTTTGCCGACCATTATTAGAAAATTATACATGTGAATGTCTTGGTGATAGTTATTCTGGTCGTCTTTGTGAAATATCTTCCCCGAAAACCATTATGCTAAAAACTGTTTCAAAATCATTTGCTTATATTTCGATTCTTGCTGTAGTAGCTGTTGCTATGTTTGTTATTACGATGGATATGCTAAAATATTGTTTTGGTATTGATCCAGCCCGCGGCGAATTGGAAAGAATTCAAAGAAAAAAACAAGTTCGAAAACCTCATCTGATCAAAAGATTGGATTATGTTGATGCCCCCCCTCCCCACAAAACTCATCTAAATAAATGATTTCATCAATGGAAGACATGGCTATCGAAGGACAAATATGAAACAAAAATAACTTGATTTACTTTGCCAGAATACATATATTTCTACTGGCGAAATCATGCTCGATGTAGAAAATTCTCTTTTCAAAAAGAATATCTGAAAATAAATACGAGTTTTGGTTCTTCAGGAAAGCGTTGCATCTCCCAGTCTGATTGCGATTAAGAGAAAGTTCACTCATAATATGTAAAATATACAGAGAGAAGAAACAATGAATTATTCGTAGACAAGTATGGAAATATATAATTTATTATAATTATTGCTTTCGAAAAAGCGATTGTATGCTTCACCACGCAGTACTTTTCTATTCTGAATACATCTATCATAATTTAATCTTGCTTTCGTGTACATACGTACATTATGCGAACAGAGGCATTAATAGATGAAAAGCATTTCAATCTAATATTATAAACAGCCATTTCAACGCTGCTATTCATGCAAATGGTGCAGGCTCGCCTATTTTGAATCATATTTGATGTTACATGCCTGATACACATTGTTGATGAGCATATCTGTTATTTTAGATACAGTTTTGTTTTATCATCACTCTTATCGCCATATCTGCTTCTCCAATCGAAGATTCTAAACAGAAACAAGATAGCGAGCCCTAGATGCACTATCAAGATAGCTATTTAGTATACTGAAATAGCTACATACTCCTGCGATTACTAATTGCGTCCTGTAGTGGTATCAGGAAAATAAGGGTTTTGCTACCCGGGAAGAATATTTTCTTTTGGGTGTTGTGTACATTTTTATATTATTCATAATAAATAGCCAATATTAGAATTATATTTTATCAATCAACAGACAGTCTCGAAAAACATTTCTGTTTGTGTTTCCATAGATTTTAATATATTTCACACACACACACGAAATTCTTAAACATGATGATAAGACATACAGTATATGCAAAAGAATCATTCTTAGATCTTCGTTTTTGAAACAGTGAGAGAGAAACTAGGAGTAATGATAAAATTGGCAACAACATATTCTTATTTCTAAATTAATATTGAATTCTCTTTACTTTTAGTGACTTTTTAGAGTGACACGTTCGGCTAATATTGCCATTTACAAGCAGTTTTTATTTTTCATCAGTGTTCTTTCTCTGTGACAAACAGGAACGATAGAGTCGAGCAAAGTTGACTGATTGAAAGAAAAATGTGTTATCTCATGTCCGTGAGCAACTTTAACTCCAACTGAAGTTTTCAAACAAAATTTTGAATTCAATCATAAGTGTTGTCTGCGAAGATAAGTTCTTACTAGACAATAGATCACAAAGCAAGATCAATGAGCTATGCTATGTAACAAGTGTAATCCAAAACATTTTTCTATTTGTAATATCAGACTGATAAATTTTGATTAAACTTCATCAATAGTGAAGTTATGCACATTTATCAAATGATCATGCAAAGACAACAGTTTCAGATTTCCAGAAAAATGCTCTTGGTGGTTTGCTGATTTACATGTGTGGTGACTTTCAGTCAAAAAGACTCGTTCAAAAAGCACACAGTGGCATAATCTATTTCATTGCTCTATCTGACTCATTTCATACGAAACGAAGCGATGTCTATAAAAAACATGGTTTCCGTACAATTGATTATTGTGCTAATCACTATTAAAATTTCAGGTAAATTTATTGTAAAAATTTTTTCTTCTTGTTATCAAATGTTGGTTCATGACTACATGAACGACACCAGTTTCAGTTTCTAGGAAAATTAATTGTAATACCTAATTTCCATACTTTTATACAAATTATTAATTTATTTTTCATGTGCAATAGCCGACACTATAGTTGTATTACAAAAGGTTTAATGTAATACCATTTCTGATCTTTTGTGAAATAATAAAATAAGTTACTTCTTTCTCTCATTACATAAATGTGTTAGAAACTGACTAATCATGAAATCTTGAAAAGACTAAAATGAATGCTGAACACCGAAGAATCAGCGATCCTTCGTCACAGGCAACTATCAGATATGCACATTATGAAACTATAGACTTAGAATAAAATAATACATGTCTTATGCGACCACAATGTTGGAAAATGTTGAGAAGCAACAATTTACTCTTGCATTCCCAAACCTTTTGAAAGGGAGGGTTGAAGAAACATATGGAAAACAGAAAATCTCATTTTGAATATCTCTACTATTAGCTACGTAAAGTTATATCATCAAATATTCAGTTAAGATACAGTTCATATATGATGAAGAATCAATTTTTATTTGTTTAAGAGTTACTATAAGAAACGTTTCAGAACATCATTGTAAGAGTGATCTTAGAATTTATGTTAGAGATCGTTGTTGAGGTTTGTATGCAAATAATTAGTCCAAGAGGGAAAACGTACGATAGCATAGTCATCTAACTTTTGTCTTTTTACTCTTTTTCTCTTTGAGGCTTCAAAATTCTGTTGATTTTACCTTTACTTAGGTTGCAAATAAGTTCATTCTGTATTTTCATAGAATCTGTTGATTTATGTCCTGACAACGATGCTCTAAATTTCACAACAATTTTCTTGATCACATTTGGAAGTGGCCCTACTCTATTTTCCAATAAAACACCCGCTGATTTTAATTTCACTACAAGTCACAGTCAAAGCTTTACATTTGACGTAAATGACGGTATGTTTGCTTTTGTGAATGAAGTTCCTGATCTTAATAATGGATGGCATGGTAACGCATCAGATTATACGACCAATGATACCGATGGATACATGTTTTTGGTAAATATGCAGGGAATTGACCCTCAGATTTTCAACTATAAAATAGACGATCTTCATATTGGTCGACTTTATGAATTTTCTGCCTATGTCGCAAATGTTGTCAGAAAGGAAAAATGCTTGAATAAACCAAATATCCGTTTTGAAGTTAGAGCTATTAACGAAAGTGGGAATGTAATTGCAAAAAAAGGTACTGGTGATGTGCCAGCATGCTACAATATGAGCTGGTCAAAATACGATATTTCATTCGAAACGACACATAGTTCAGTCGTATTGTTGATGATTTCAAACGTTGCTGAAGGTAGCGGTAACGATTTAGCCGTTGATGATATCGAACTACGTGTTTATTCAACAAATGATCTCGATGATACTTCTACTACAGGTTAGTCGATCTAGTATTCTTTGAATATGATGTAACAGCTTTTTCACATTTGAGGAAATTTTCAGATTTCTTTCATTACGACTTGTTTTCTTTTGTTTTCAGTTTTGATGGGAATGCCAGCAGAGTTGTCACACTGAAGACTTGACATTCAAATCTTTACTTTCAAAACTAAAAAACAACCAGAAAAAAATGTGCGAAGTCAGAAAGAATTAGAAAAGTCAATTAGTGCCTATCCTTTTAGCATCAGTCTTTTTCGTTGAACTAATTTTTATTTTCACGCTCACTTTCCTGTGAAAATGTGTTCATGCGATGAATTTCGTTTGTCTAAAAAGACAGACTATAAATTCAAGGGGTAAACAGCGTACTTGAAGTAAAAAAGTACGTCACAGTGCATCATTTGAAGTAGCACAAATTAACTTCAAGTTCAAAAGTCCGCTTATTTCTCGTTGTATAAATTACATAAGTTACATAATATAAACTTGAAATTACTTTTTGAATTTATTGTGACAAGCAGTTTCGATTTGAAATACATTGATAAAATTGTTCGCTGCAATGATTTATGCCTTCGCGGAAACTGACGTATAAAATAATTCCAATTTTGAAAAAAAACTGCAGAGATTGAAAGATGTAATCTGCTTTTCTTTCACTGTCTCTCAACTTTTCAAAACTGTTGCGTTGATTTAGTGTACTTACAAGATATTGACTGAGAATTTCATCGTGTGACATGATTTCGATAGAGGCGTTTAAACGTCTCACGATTGAAAATTATTAATCTGTGGTCTATTTAACTGTATTGTTAACGAAGAATTTTCTTTCATGAGAATCAAAACCTCCCCGTCTGTGTTTTAAATTCGCTATTTTTATCACACTGTTTCCAACAACTACCTTCTGACGATCTTCATTGCGTAATTGAGTTGTTGTATCGTCATTCTTAACTATTGTTCTGCTGCTCATCTTTGTTTATAACATCAGACAATTGAAATAAGTTTTGCGTTATCGTTTGTGTATAATTTAAATGTATGAAAAGTGAAAACACGAGGAATTCCTATTAAAATTGTCTAGTTCTCACTAATTTCTGATCTAATCCATCAGAACTAAAAGATCCATCATTGGTATTAATATCAGTTTGTAATAACTCAGTTTCTATCAAATGTAAAAACAGCTGTATCGTCGAAAACATTTGATCATTCGCTGGTTAATATGACTTATTCAAATATTCACTGAAATCAAGTCACATTTGATTTTTATAGCACGATGATTTAGATTAATAATACCGTTGATTGCAGCTTTATTTTTGAGGTTTTAAATCACTTTTAGTGTGAATGTGTATAGAACACAGAACGTCACAGATTTTACGCTTACATTATATTATTTTAACTGTTGTACATGATTTCTATCTTCAAATGGCATGTAACAGTATCTTACGTAAGAAGATATTCGGCAGACAATCGTAAAGACTGGATATAGATGCGAGTTCTAGCTGTCTTTCACACTCCAACACTTAGGTGACGAGATAACGAAACAGAGTTCAAAGAATAACTTGAGCATTTTTTCTGTATCGAACTTTTGTGTTCGCGCCTTGAATTATATAGAGCACTGAAAATATGCAAAAGAAGAATTTTATATATTCTGGCAAGCGACTATTATTATGAGACTCATGATTAGAGGTGTCAGCCGAAGGGTTGAACGGCGACGGCGGGCAACAGTTTTCAATTTTTGAAGATTTCCAGCGGCTCGTTATTTGAATGAGTAATGTCTTCAGCGGCGGCTGCTACAAATTCTTAAAATTTTTTTCACAGCGGCGGCGTCGGCTGATATTTGTGAGTTCTTATGTGGCGGCGACGGCTCAGTTAAAAATTCACTGACGAAAATTAAAAGAAAAATGTTCGATTCGATCGCATATGTATTGATGTCAGCGGCGGCAAATAACGCTATCAAAAATTTTTATCTCTTGCAGCGGCGCAACGGCTAAACTTGTTTTTTCGCAGCGGCGGCTCCCCCAAAATTCTTAAAATTACTACTAATTTGGTGGCTGCGGCGGCTGATATTATTGAAAAATCGGCTGCTGCGGCGGCTCAGCCGTACGGCTGACACCTCTACTCATGATTGCCGATCAACGCTATCTGTCAATGTTTGGAATGAAAGTAATGGATAGAAATTTCTCCTCGCTATACTCCTGCAAATAATATAAAAAAATTGTTTCGATAAGTACAATTTTCTAAAAGGCACGAATAATGTTCTGTGAAAAGACACCATCGATTATCGCATGATCTAAAGTTTACACAAAGAATAAAATTTACGCGAATATTAATGAAGGGAATTAGATTTTTAAATTTTCGCCACAAATGTTACTTTTCCTTCACAGTTGATGAACTGAGCCTTGACGCATCGAAACTTTGTGCACAAAGAAAAAAATGGTTTTAATTCAAATTCATAACGAGTATTATTATCTATATTTGTTAGATACTCATGACTTTCAAGACATCCTGCAGAGAAAAAGTTTGAAGTGAAATATTTATTTGTTTATCATTTTGAATAATTCCATATAAACTCAAAAAGATTCGTTTGCAAAGCAAACAATTAAGCAGATTCCGCAAATTCATAGCTTCATTTTCCTCTATTTAATCAAGTATAGTATCAGCTTACTGAATAAAAAACTCGTATATGGTATTCTTAGTATTAACGAAGTCGGAAGAACTATGAATAGAAAATAATGCTATCCATAGCATCGCCTGTTATTTTAATCATAAATGAACTTCTCTATTATATGATTTAACCAGTGACCATTAGAAAAGTAGTCACAATCAATGTTTTAAATATTGGAGAAAGATAAGAAAAATAATTGAAATCACCTTAATTACGCTTGCCAGCGATCAGCACTTTAGTGAACTATTTTAAACAGAGGTGTATGTCGAAGGAAATATCACACAGAAATAAGCAGTTGAGATTCATTCTGTACGTGGGGAAAAGGCAGACTTTGTCTCTAAAATTTAGTAAACACTGATTTCAACCCCCAAACATTATGTAAAATGATAACCGAGATTCTATCGCTTTATTAATTTCAATAAACAGAATCATCAAGTCGTTAAAGATAACCACTACTTCTTCTGTGTCATCCTAATATTTTCTTTACTGAATGGGTGGATTTCTTAGTTTGTTTCTGTTGACGTACACGCACTAGATTTAACCTTTATTTTGCCATTTTAGCTTCTAGTATTTTTGATTGCAAGAATAATGACGAAGACTACTGCGAGTGTTCCAATGATTTTATTGGCTTGTCTTGTAAAATTCGTATGTGTGAATTTCTTTTGAGCTTTGACTGTTTGTATTTGTTTCATAGAATCTGATGATGTATGCTCAAAACATGATAATAACACTTATGAATCGCTTTTCTTTATAACGTTTGGTTCTGGTTCCGATCGATTTTATAGTAAAACTGCTTCTGATTTTAACTTTAAAACAGATCTCAAAAAAGAATCGTGGTCAAATTTTAACCCCGGTGCTTACGCGTTTGTGAATTCAGTTCCTTCTTCCTTTTTCTTTAAGTGGCACGATGCAGCGAAAGATCATACAACAAATGACACAGATGGCTACATGTATCTTGCCGGTGTGGGAAATGTAAACGATACGATTTTCAATTACAAAATAAAAACTCTTTGCGTTGGTGTAGATTATGAATTTTCTGCTTATTTCACCAATATTATGAGAAAAATGCGGCGGATTTCCGTGACAGAACCGAATATTCGTTTTGAAGTGCGAGCGGTGCATAAAAAGGGTGATTTGATTGCACAAAAAAGTACAGGCGATATACCTGTATATCAGCATATGACTTGGTCAAAGCATGGGCTCTCGTTTGTAGCGACAAGTAGTTCAGTCGTACTATTGATGATTTCAAACGTTGGTGGACACCCGGGAAATGATCTTGCCATTGATGATATACAATTACGGGTTTCTTCAGCTAACCAAACTGGGTTTTGTTATCCAGGTTAGTAAATTTATCGTTTTTTCCAATTGGATATGACGGTCCCTTAGACATTCACATAGTCTAACTCAAAATTCGATCGTTCTATATTTTTTCCTTTTTTTTCTACCTTAGATATTTTTAGGAGAATGAATCATCGAGTATGGATTACTTCAACATCATTGATTATTATTGTAATCACTACAGGGCTGGGCATATTGCTCAATGATGAAGTAACATCTTGTAGACACTTCCTTCATTAGTCCAAGTCCATTCATAAATACTAGAAATACAGACGCGTACTTGGTATTTAAAAGCATTTAAACAGAATTCAACTTCATTCTCTTCAAAATAAGAAAACAATGTTAGCGAACGCTTAATGAAATTTTGATAGATACATTCAAGAGAGTTATGAGTAAAATTTATTAGTCTTAGACTCACATATCGTTGCAATATTGAAAAAGAATTTTCTCCAAGAAAATCAAAGTTACTAAAAGTATTTCTTTTAAACATGCGATTTTTGGCTTCGTATTTTACGAGTGTATTTCGAATATGTTTCAAGTCTAAGGAAGCTCTACCCTATTCATTAGTAACTATTCTAATAATGATACTGTCTACACGAATTTTGTAATCAAGAATCATCATTTGAGAAACAAAATCATTTTATGATACACAAATTGGAATATTATTGTTCCGTTCTGCCGACAATTTTTTTTTCTGGTTGACACTGCAATATAATAATAAATGTTTGATTTACAAATTATCGTTTAATCCATAAACTGTATAATGAATATTCAGATTTCTTTAGTTACTGGTGTTTCAAAGGTGATGGTAGAAATAAACAAAAATATATTAGTTCAGTGGTCCGAGAGCATTAATTTTGGTTGGAGAAGATGCTTTTGAATGAACGAATTTGATCTTTCTTGAATAATTCTAATTTTGAAAACTGAAATAAACACATATCAGTATTAGCCATATCCGTATGTTAAACTTTAATTATCATACAGTAAGCTGTAGCTATATTATTAGTTGTCGAAATGGTAAGAAATAACCGAGAGTTTTTCCAAGTCGACGAAAAACACGAAAAAAATTTAAATTGATTATACTTTATTATCATGGTTCCAGTTTTTGGTGTGCGTCACAGAAAACGATTGGTTTCATCTAGAATTTGACTGCAGTTTATACTAGAGAATGATTACACCCAGTTTGCTGAAGACAGAATCTGCTGCATGTGCTTATATCTTTGCACGGGTCTTTGTAGAGGCCAGTATAGCTCACTCGTTACATGGTTATGAGCAAAAAGGAAACAAATGAGCCTATCGTTTATCTGAATCTGAATAATACAGTCATTTGTAGTAAAATGAATCGTGATTATGTATACAGATTTTCTTTGCAGCATCTTTTAATTATAATCAATGCTTTTAGTACTTTCATTCAATCAACCCAAATTTTGTCCAGTTGTTTCATGGGAAGCAAATGGAACCACTGTTGCAAATGATACAATGATTGGACTTAGCACTATTGGAATGTTCATCGATACTGATAATGCCATCTATGTAAATGATCAAGAGACTAATAGCGTTCAAATTTGGTACGAACGAAAAACAGAACCGATGATAATCAAACCTGAAAATTTAAATGCTTCCAAAGGTATTTTTGTTACAAACGATGGAGATATTTATCTGGACAATGGAGAACTCACTGGTCGTGTTGATAAATGTTCGAAGAGCTCCAACAGTAGTGTGCCCGTAATGTATGTCAATGGGAGCTGTTTTGGATTATTTGTTGATAGAGACAAAAACTTGTACTGTTCTCTTCGAGATCAGCATCGAATTGTCAAGCGTTCACTATGTTGTGATAGTAACACGTCAACAACAACAGTTGCTGGTAATGGAGCTAATGGATCAGCTCCAAATATGCTTAATCAACCGAGTGGCATTTTTGTGGACATTAAATTGAATCTATACGTCGCAGATTATGGTAATAATAGAATTCAACTTTTTGAGTATGGAGAATTGAGTGGAAGGACGCTTGTGGATGGTTCATTATTAAATGGTCCAACAGACATCAAGGTGGATGCTGATGGCAATTTATTTATCGTAGATCAAGGCAATCATCGCATCGTTCGTTTCGGATCGAATGGACTGTATTGTATTATTGGTTGTTCGGGTGCTAACGGCGCTGAAAGTGATCAATTCAATCTACCATTTGCTCTTGCTTTTGATACATATGGGGATATATTTGTCCTCGATGGAGATAATCGCCGAATTCAAAAGTTTCGTTTGGCAAGAAACGCTTGTGGTAAATTTAATTAATCAAATGCTTCTCGTATTCAAATAATTTTTATTTCATATTCCAACCGTTTTTTCATAAATAAGCATTGATACAGAAATAGAAACACTGTTCAATGAGAAATTCATTTTTAGCATATCAATTTAAAGTATCTGGACATCATCCAAGTTCTTAACGAACGTTGAAATACTAATGATCGTTTAGGAGTAACACGAACTCTTTCTTAAAATTTCCATAACTAGAAAAAAGAAGTTCTGTTTTTGTTTTATAACCATTGCTGTTGAGTTCATGTATTTGCTTTAGTAAGGAAAGCAAGTCACTCTAGGTGCTTTGCAAGGGCATGAATATCATTTTAGCCTTTCTTTTTTGTGCATTGCCAAATAATAGACTGTTTGAAGCGAGATCTAAGTGGATCGAATGGATCATACGGTCAACTATCTACGCTAGCATTTTTAGAGTCATTGACTTGCCTAGTCTTTGAATAATGATGCTTTTATTCTATGTAGTTACATACAATCGCCCAAAATTCTGTCCAAATGCAACATGGAATGTAGATGGCATCACTGTTTTCGACCAATCATTAATTGGTAATCACGCTCGAGGCATTTTCGTCGATTCTAATGATACTTTATACGCCGTTGCACAGGATCGCAGTCAAATATTAACATTGTTCAAAAACAGTACCAATCTATTGTCACCCACAAATTTTCTACTAGCTAATTATACTGGTATTATTGTCAGCATTGAAGGTGAGATCTATTTGGAGAATGGAACCGAATCGGGTCGAATAGTACAATGGGCGAAGAATACAAACACTAGTGTCTCTGTAGCATATTTCCCAGGAAACTGTTTTGGACTATTTATCGACCAAAGCAATAGTCTCTATTGTTCTATGAAAGAGAAAAATAGAGTTGTTAAGATGTCACTCAACGGCAAAATGAGTAAAATAGTGAATGTAGCTGGAACAGGCACCAGTGGATCAGGCTTGGAGCAGTTTTCCGGACCATGGGGAATATTTGTTGACAATAATTTCACCTTGTATGTCGCTGACAGTGGAAACAATAGAATCCAACGTTTTCAACTAGGAGAAAATATTGGAGCAACAATAGCAGGAAATGGAACTCCAAACGATCTAATGTTAAATAATCCTACAGATATCATACTTGATTTGGATGGTAACTTATTCATAGCTGGCAACGATAACTCTCGCATCATTCGAGTAATCCACGATGCTTATCATTGTGTAGTTGGTTGCAATAGAAATTCAACTAGTCCATCCGAAAAGTTAAACAAATCATATGCTGTTCGTTTCGACAGTCGTGGAAACCTATTTGTCGCGGATGAATGCAACCATCGAATACAAAAGTTCACTTTGGCAACAAATTCCTGTGGTAATTCTAATTGAAAAGATTATTTTAAGGCAATATTATTAGAGTAAATGTCAATTTCAGACATTGTCACGGCTCGGGTGTGAACTATATGGGCCGTAAATTTGTAGCATTGTAGAGAAAAGCATTGTCTGATTTAATTATTCAAATTCACATTAGGTTTTCTGCAGGACTTTAATTTTCCATATATGATTTGATTAGAGTAAAATGCATGTCTTGAAAGAAGTAAGTAATCTAGACTAACAGTTAGAAATATTGAAAATTATGGAACATCAATAGAAACCAGGGCAATGCTGCTAGTCTCATCTCATCGAGGATGATTTATATCGACCTGTAATAATGTCTAGGCTAGGATATATTTGATCTCATCTAAATGCTTAGTAAAGACAATCACCAACGATTCGATTATAGGTATTGCAAATGTTTTTTTTAATATAAGATTCAACAACAACAGAGGCACCAACAACACAAGTAGTAACAGAAGCACTAACAATACAAGTAACAACAGAAGCACCAACCTCACAAGAAATAACAACAGCAGAAGCAGCAGAAACAACAACAAAAGCAAGCACAACATTAGCAACAACGATACAATCAACCACAGCAGCAGCAACAACTACTACTACTACTACTACTACAGCTTCAACATCATCAACTACTTCGTCCAATACTTCTGAAAGAGGTGAGCATTGTAGAAAAAGCTATATTTGTTAAATTTTATCATATCGTTCGATTTATTGCGCACTGTTGTTAATCAAACGCTTCGTCGTGACCGTTTTCGATTGAAAAATACAAAATTGTAATCCGCTAAAATGTTGTGTCAGTGATTATTTGATGAAAAAATTTAGAAAAGAGTTGATGTCTCTAGTGAGCTAGACTTTGTGTGGTTATGAGTTAGCCAGAAGTTAACATTTATATTCTTAAAAGCATCTTTTTTTTTATAGAAACCTCAACCATTTTGATGTTTTTTGTTGAGAAAATAGATAACCGTAATTTAAATTGAAGTTTTGCTTTTAGATGAGTTCAATGGCTAGATCGAAACATCGTAGAAATATTACAGAAAAAGAATATTCTTTTTTTATGAGACTCTTGGCTTGTCTTTGCTGATAACTCTCTATCGGACGACTTATTTTTCAAAAATTTACTATCTGAACAATCATGAGTTGAATTGTTTTCCATCAAATTAACTTAAAACTTGTCAAAAAGTACAGTCATGATATATGACTTCAGAGGACCACATGCTCTCGCTAGTTTAGATAGTCTACTCTAGTATTATCGAGCCTAAATTTGTAGTAAATATGACATCAAACGGAGATTTCTATGTCAGAGAAATCTGTCCTTAATTTTAAGATGCATTCAAAGTTTCGATTCTAACTCATTGTTTCCTTGAAATTTCAATGTACGAATTCAAATTTTACTAAAAATGAAATACGAATTGTGTTATACGCAGCTCTAAAACTTTTGTTTCTTATCTTTTATTTTAAATGTGACTATTGTCAATTCGATAACTCAGCCTCAAGTAAAATTATTCGTCAAAATTAATATAAAATTAGCAAGTGAAGAAGTTGAGTGACCACTTTATTGGCTCATTTTTAAAAGTGAAAATAAACCTAAAAGTCGTATCGTTATATTGGCTTGTTACAGTAGTACTTAATAAAATTTAAAGAACAATAATAAATACCTCAAGTGTATGAATATATTCCAGTTTTTACAGATTGTATCTTGATATTATTAGATTTTTTATTATCAAACATAGCTCTATCAGTAAAAGTTTAGAACAAAGAAACTATTGTTTCAAATAAGTTTACGTCAAATATAGGTTATAATTAAATTAATTTGAAAAAATAGTTTTATCATCGTTTTTCTTGTAGCTCTAATGGTAATTCTTCCTTCGAGTTTTGAAGACAGTTGTTAGCGTAGATAGTCTCAAAGATTCTTTTTTTATACTTATTTCATTTTACCTAAGTATGATTTAGATAATCAAGTTATTTACATATTCGATCTTCCGTTTCTCATGCCACTTGTATTACTATCTTTTTTGAAATCACCAAGAAGGATTGACTTGTAGCGTTTTGTTTTTTAACATAAGCACTGAAATGTATTAGAGACAGTTCGGATTCTGTTTTTTTCAATGAAACAGATATGTATCGTTTGCTTAGCCTCGACTCTGTCAGCACTTTGTTTGAACTGATATTCCTTTATGATGAGTAAATTCAAAAATGTAGGTCGTTTCAGCTCATATTAAAAAAATGAACTATTTAAATAATAGAACTATTACAGAATGTATTCCATCCAACAAACAACATAAAATGATGAAATTTTCATAAAGGTCTGTTATCAATCATCTCTATATCAAATCAGTTCTTCAGAGATTTCTTCATATTTTTGAACGAAAGTTTTGTCTTGTTTTACTATTTTTCAAAGACCCACGAAGAAGATCTGTGGTATCTTCGACACCTGTTCATTTCATTACAGAACAAGCTTTGCAGAGAACGTTTTTTGGCTGTAGCGATTATGCTACATTCATATAAATCAGTTTAAAAAAAATGCGTTTTCAAGTCATAATTCTTTTAGCTAAAACAGATGCATTAAAGCTACCTGTCGTTTCACATAAATAACGAACAGAGTCACAAATAAACTAATTGTTTCAACTGAAAACTCATGTATAATAAACATATGTTCTTTATTCATTTGTATTCACTTTGAAATCCTATACTGAGATAGATTTCCATAAAATATCAGTTAGTTAACTTATACGAAGGTTTTCTTTCATTTCATTCCTGTTTTCTGTCCTCTTTAAAAAAGAAAGCATCAATATTCTTTAAACAAAGCAATTTTTCAGATTCAACAGCCACTAGTATCATTTGCAACACTTCGAATAGTTCATGCGACTTGCTTAAACCGTGTCAAAACGATGGAACATGTAGAAATACGCAAACTGGCAATGATTGTTACGTCTGTTTATGTTCACGTGGTTTCAATGGGACTCATTGTGAATTTGATCATCGACCTTGTAAACCATACACTTGCCTGAACAATGGTAAGTACATAAACCTTCTTGTTTGATTTTCAATACAGTACTCGAATGTAATTTCTTTTAGGTACATGCAAGGAAACATCAGACTCATTGTTTGTTTGCACATGCCTATCTGGTTGGCAAGGTGTTCATTGCGAATTCATGGTAAACTTCTGTGACAATTTCACATGCTTGAATAATGGTACTTGTCGATCTTCATTATCAAATTATACATGTGAGTCTTGTTGAAAGTTATTTTGGTTGTCATTGTCAAATAACTCCGATCGTTACAAATAAAGAGAGACTTCGAAGAACTGGGACATAGGAATTGAATTCCCCTACAATTTCCTAAATGCTAAAATAACACTCGTTTGAATCATTATTAGACACTGTCAACCGAAATTACGAAGCATTTTCTGTAACAGTGTTCATATTTACATACTTATTTTCATACGGTTCTTTATTAAAAGAAATATGAGAGTGAAAGTTACTGTATCTATTCATATTTTTTAAGTTTAGCAGTTAGGACAGTTTAAGGAAATTTCTGTTTCTTAATCTTTGGTGCCTATTGGAAAAATTTCTTACTGAAAACAAAATGAGCATTCATACTTACTGTCTAAGCATTTTTTGCAGGTTGCTCGCCTCCGAGCGTCAGGCTTGCTATGGCACCAAATTCTTTGGAACTTCCTATCAAAGCTCGTCGAAATGATGAATTCTATATCAGTGCCTATATTGAACTTTTCTGTATGAACTCAATAGAAGCAGTTTCGCAGTGGGCGATTACCAATTGCACTACAAACTGCTCTTCTTCAATATCACTAAATCGTCCTATTATTACTACATTGAGTGAAATTCACATTCCAGCAAAAAAGTTGGAATATGGTATTTATGAAGTAAAATTGACGGTATCGTCAGTCAACATTCCTATTGTGACTGCATCAGCAGTAGGATACATAGAGATCATTCCGACTGGTATTATGGCTAATCTTGTTTCGAATGGAACATCAATGATTACTCACGATCCCCAACAATATCTTACACTTGATCCAGGCAGATTCTCTGAGGATCCCGATGAAAAGGAATTTAATTCAATCGTAAGTCCGTGTAAATAACATTTTTTTACTTGAATTCTGTCAATAATCTGACTCAGCTTTCACGGAAGCAGACTACGAAATACATCCATAAAATATATTTTAGTTTTCTCGATATGGATGGAGGTTAGGAAAATTAATTTGATTTATAACTTAAATATAGTACCAACAAAAATTAATCAGGATCCAATCGGAATATAGCATGTTTACCTAATTTTGAGTCAATGCAAATTATGAGAGAGAGCACTCGAGAATTTCGATTGAGGGTCACTGAATGATTTTCTACAAAAACAACTAATTATTCATAGGAGTCTACATGAATGGTATATTCATGGCTTGTATTCTTTGAGTTTTTCTCGTAAGTAGAATGAAATCAATCATGGTCTAGCAATAGACACTTTTGCAGCGCAAATTGAGTGCAAGCATATATATGTAAGAATCACAATTGTATTAATAGAAATGGAATTATACGCATTACTGTCGAATCCATGGTGTGTCAGTGATCGCTGGATCATCTGTGTTGATGAACGATAATGACGAGATCAGTTCCCCCAACTGCTCGTGCTTCGCGGGTCAATTCAGTTCAACTGAATCGAGATCGTCAGTGACCATTATGGCTAATTCACTAGTAGCCAATCGAACATATCAGTTCATGGTGAATATGACTCACCGTGCAAATCCCTATTTGCAAGCTAGCGGTTATCTTCTTGTGAAAGTAGAAAATGCTCGTTCTCAAAAAGTCGCAGTTGGGTGTGTCATCGCAACAATGTGTTCACGCAAGGGTGAATTCCAATACATTAATCCAAATACAGAGCTAGCTCTTTTCTCATCTCTGGTGAACCAAACAGGATTGCAAAACAATATTACATGGAATGTCTATCTTGGAATGATGAATTCATCATCGGACACACAAAACTGGAGTTTGTTCACAGAGATGGATGACTATCGTGACATTTGGTTCTTTGGTGAGTTTACCAATCTTATTAATAATATTACATTCATTTATTCTTTCAGGTGCAAATAGAAGTCATTTTACAGCTACTAACGAATTGTTCCTAACATATCGTAACATAAAATTTTGGCGTTTCGAAGTTGTGTATATGTCTATGACGGAGAAAAGTTCGAGTGCGCTTCATTTTGAAATCAATCAGCCACCTAAATCTGGCATCTGTTCAATTACTCCTTCGAACGGTACAATAACAACTAAATTCACCGTAATATGCAAAAACTGGACAGATCAAGATGGTATCAAAGACTACTCATTCTACGGTACGTATGGCTTCGTAATTTTTCTAACTATCGATGCTAGAGGTCATCTATAGTACGTACTCAAATAGAAGCATTCCTATCTTTGATGGTTTTAGCCTGGACAACACATGTTGAACAACGTGTCATACTTGGTTCCACAATAAGTTCAGTATTTGAACTTCTATTGCCCGTCGGTTCTGGTAATGCATCATTAGTGAATGTGATTGTTCAAATTCGAGATCAGCTCAATTCCGTGACTGAAGCTAACATATCAGCTGTGTCCGTGGTGCTGACTAGAACTAATATTGATTCATTCATTAAAGCCATCAAAATATCTTCCACTGTGCCTAGTAAGCATCCATTGGTAGAAATTCTCTCGAAAAACAATTCGGTCTTAACTGGACAAGTAATCACTACAGTCTCACAAGTGCTGAACGAAATGAATACTGAAATTATCAGATTAGGCATTCAGAACATTGCAAGCATTTTTGTTTCCCCATTAGGAAGTCGAGAGATACCTATGGTGAGCTTTCTCTATCGTTTGTACGTTCATGAAGAATCTGTTCATTTGAAAATATTCATCGCATTCATGGAATACATCTACCTTCAATCAGTACATACAACAATTGAACGATGATGCCAGTGTTCGTGAATATCTCATGAAGAGTATGAACGATTTAACAACAACTACATGGAACAACATTCTTCTGCAAGCATCATCTATCGCCCTTCTCACTCACGCAATCAATGAACTAACACGAGATACCTGTGTAAGATCTGAGGTTCTCTAATTGTCTTCAAAATAGATAAACTGTTTTAGATGCTTGCATCTAGCAAATGTCGTGACATGGCACTTACTTTAAAATCAATGGCTAGGATGGTAAGTTCTGATGACGTGAAAAAGATTGGTAATCAACTGATTCAATGTGCTACGAATGTTTTAAGTGTAAGATAACTGCTTTAAGTTTGTTCTCATACCCCTGATTGATTCATTTTAAAAGGCTGTCAATGTGCCTCTCCAACAACGGGGGGCGATACTTGAACTCGATTTAAATCGTTCCAGTGCCACCGCGAACGATTATGATGATGACATGTACTTGAATTTGAATTTGAATGGTATCAATTTCATTAATGCGTTTCTCTCTATAACCTCTGTTATTTTGATCTTGTCATAGGTATTTTTATGAAAGAGAATGAACCATCATATGAGAGGAATTTCTATCATCAGAAACGAACGGTAACATTACTTCAATATCACTAATATGATCGTGCTTATTCTTTTGATCAAATAGGCAAATATAATAGCCAAGCAGGTGGCCGAAACCCTAGAAGCAATCGCGGTTGCATTCAACGTTCATTTGAATGTCGGCCAGAATACGACTGTAAATACAACGTCAGTATTCACTTCGTTAGAAAAAACGCTCGTCTCTTCTCTATCAAATAAACGAATCAGCCCACTTGGTAGTGCTCAGATTCATATTCCATTAAGTTCTAATCTAACGGAAAGTGATACAGTATCAGTGTGGGTGAGTTATTTTCTGTTCATTTACATCTAAGAAAAAATCTTCTAGTCGATGATACAACCACTTGCGGTAGCCAGTGCTACTCCAGGTCAAGTAAATACCAGTCTGTCGACAATGATTTCACTTTCAATACTCGATTCTCACGGCAAGGAGATCTCTATTCATACCGATAATGAACATCCAATTGAATTCTTTATTCCTCGAGATCCTAACTTGATAGTACCCCGTATGGCTTTGTATAATGTCACATTGATACATGATGCTAAGCATCAGTTCTACTTTCATTTGATCAATATTACACAATCAAATGTAAATTTGACTGTTTCTCTTCACATCGAAATGCGTCCTCGTAATAGAAGTCTGAACTATTTGATGATCTTTAAGTTTGATGGTCAACCTCAATTGAACACTCTGATTAACAACATTGATGATTGGTCTCTATTGTGCTCTTCAAGTGAGCCTTGCTCTCTTTTTTTCCTGGCTTATATTCAAATTTTAGACATATCTGATGATGGTATCCATAAATACTTCATAAATAATAATCGTACTGCTAAACATCGATTTGTTATTATTGGTTTCCGTGAACTCAACACTACCGAAATCTGTTCGAATAAATCATCGACTCCACCCATCACCGATCAACCATTCAACTTCTCGTCGGACTACGAACTTCGAACTTTTACTTCTGCATGCTACTATCTTGACTCAAATAATAATTGGCAATCTGATGAATTACTAGTAAGCATGCTATTTTCTTTATCATTGTCAACTTCAATCTATTGAATACAGGTTGGATCAATGACTGATCATTATCAGACGCAATGCTTTTCTACTCATCTGTCCACTTTCACTAGTGGATACTCGCATGTACCTAATCCAGTGCTTCTCTTTAATGATCTGTTTGCCCACACTCAGAATAGTTGTCCTTCTGTTTACCCGGGTGAAGATATCGTTAATGCTATGACCTTGAGTAAATCAAAGTAAGCCTTATTAACATCATTGTAATTGAATTGATCAGATTACCTTTTTCAATACAGTACTATTTTGAGATTCAATCACGGAATGCTGTCGCTCATGTCATCTCATATTGAGCATCATGATGATGGGATCTTCTGCCAAATGCATGAAACGAATGCCAACCAGGACATTGCAATCGAATGAATTTCCCTCTTTCTTTATTCAAGTTTTTAATGATTTCTTTGAATAAAAACAAAAATAAAAGAATTTTCGGTTCTTTCTTGAGGATGCGGATGTAAGGGTACGGTGTTCTATTTCTGTGCAGCCACAAACACATCCACACCCTAGATAAAAATAATAACTGTATACAATTGATGTACTGGAGAAGCCACTAGTCACAAATATATCGGAGATTATGATTCATAACAGCACAGAAGAAAATCATCAAATTTCACAAATACAATCAAAAAATGTTATGAAATTTAGATTATCATTTGAATTCTACATTATAACTATTTTACTACAGTAAACTGAAATATTTTGTCATCTGTACATACGTTGAAGACTATAAATATTGTAAATATCAAAGAGTTTTCGTAATTATAGAGTAGTAAATTGTACATGATCTTTTACATTATCTGACAATATTCTTCTTTCATCTGATATTACCAGTACTTAATCTACAATAATCGTATACATGACCAACGATTTTTCCAAAGAGAAAAGAAATAATGTTTATGACATACTATGACTAGATGGACATTGAGGTGCTTCAATAAATGAAGGTTGACAGTTTTGCTTTTCAAACAAAGAAACTTACAAACACTTCATTCCACGCAAAAGCCGTTGAAGTCTTTGAGACAGATCATGTGATATTTCTTTGTCTACGTCTAGATCATTGAATAATGCATCGACCAAATCAATTGTATGAAAGACAGTATTTCCATGAAATAATGGTTACAATTGGATAAGCCTAATTTTGTTTCATCGCTCATCATAAATACTTGATTAAGTCGTCTTGAATCGATTTTTGTCTATGGAATTCAACCAGATACACTTTTTTCATTCTTGACAGATTTAGCTTATCTACCTCGGCTTTTTACGTCCGAGAAAAATCGGAATGATCGTTCTGGGCACTATTTATTCATTTATTAACACAACTTGATACTTTCAAAATATGTAGAAAAGTAGAAAATATAGAAATTCGTGCCAATGACATACGTGATATTGATAGACACATATTAAATCTAACTTCAGAAAAAGTTAATGATATTATCCAATCATTCGTACAAGTAATGGATGGTGTGGCAGATCAATCAAATATGTGTGAAAAATTGAAAGTTATTTATAATGATTGTCCACCATTGATAGATCCAAACGTGATATATGAATTATACTATAATGATAGTAATCTGTTAAAAAAATCTTTTTTTATTTTTCTATCAATTTTGATTAATGACCATTATGCTTTTTTTCACCAAAATACGATATTGGACAATATTAATTTAGGTATATTGTTACGTTTAACTCATAAGAATAATATTTTGGACAAATTCGAGCTGATCAAGCATGACCTTTTACATTTATCACCATATTTTTCACTTATTTGTACCGTTTTAATCAAAATAATATCACATAGAACAATAGCAACAAAAGATTTGCACTTATTTTCAACAGTGTTGCAAGATGATATTATTAATAAAACTACTTCAAATTGGTCAATATTAAAAGATTTCATTCAACTATTTCGTAGTATCTTACATACTGAATTCGTTAAAAATATTTATTTTGAATTAATCAATGATGAACAAGAATTAACGAAAAGTCATGATGGAATTCGTTTTGAAGGTAAAAAATGCAGTCACATTACTTGAGTTATACTCGCCTAAGCATTTCTTTCTAAAAACATTACATTTTTAATAATACGATTCATATATGTTGAAATCATATTTTGAGAGTAAACTGGTTATTGTAACATTTTACTCCTACTTTGCTAGATATTGAACATGGATTATGTTAACCAACAAAAAATGATTCCGTTAAACGTATTTCGAAAGAAACTGCTATATAGTCGTTCGTATTTGAAAGAAAAAAAAATCATGGGGTAAATATTATTCTCAGTCATCGAATAGTATAAATTTGTCATTGAATCGTTTAGTAGTAAATAATACTCAGTTAACAGATTAAATAATTGACTGGAAAACTGATCGAGTATTTTTCAAAATAGCTATAGAGATCAATATTCGTATGAGGGATTGTGTTCATTCTGATGTACTTTCGTTGTGAACTATTTATTGATGAAATATCATGGGAAAAATAAATATTGAAAATGCTTTTCTTTGGTGTCATTTACGTTTAGTTACTTGTGAACCATAATTTGAACGAATTAGAGACGTTTATACGGAAAAAATCAAACTTTTTTCTCAAAATTGTATGCCACCAGGATTATGGATCAAGTTACGTGAAAGAGACTACGTAGAATACAGTTGCAGTTTTGATAGAATTTTCTGTAATAGAAAAACATACAGGGAAAGATTCGGTTGTTGATATTAATGTCAAATATCATGTCTGCCATATTAGTCATAAATAGAATCAGACTAATGAAAATCTCCAAATATGAGTCCATTTTGCAGCAGGTTATCAATAAAATCGACTATTCTTCGACGAAGAGAAATGAGTTGGTTAAATAATAGAATTTTTCTACTAGACCATCCGTAATTATGTGTTACGACTTATGATTCATTAAATATGGAGGAGAATAGAAGAAAGTCATCTTCCATATTTTTTGCATGCCATTATATCTACAAATAGTTCTCTACAAAACTGCATTATAATCAACTAAATCTACCATTCATATAATACAGTAGAAAATAGTTTTAAAATGCTTCCTAACCTAAACTATTCAATTAGTTTTGAACTTAACTAATAAATAAATCATGTATTAACAGGTTTCTTTTATTGCGCACGCGTACCACTGAAGATTTTCTCGAAAAGCAGACAAAGTTTCAGTGTAATTTAGTGTAAGTACGTAGCCTCTCTCTCCTCTCTTAAATTTTATAGTCAATATAGTATTTCGTTTTTATTCCATTGTTTTTACTTTAGATATTATTGATAATACAATTGAAGAGGTTATTGAAAAACGTGGGTTGGCATTCGCTAACTTATCAACATGTTATTGTGCTATTACATGTTTTAACAGAACAATAGTTATAAATAAAAATATTATCATATTAGAATTAATCGATGATGCAAAACGTTTTACAGACAATTCAATAATGTTTGGAGGATTATTAGTGATCATGTTACGTGAATTCTTTCAAGTATTGCGTCGTACAACTGTATAACGTGCATTCAATGCATTTTATGAACAAACACCACCTGGAGAAGTTTTATCACGTAACAATATGGAAATTGCTGAAGGTGGTACTCAACTAGAAGATCGTCTATTTGGTATTGCATGTGAAAGTATTGGTTGTTTCGATGCAGAATTTTTATTAAATTATCAAAATTGGATTAATCATAATCATGAAGAATTTAAAGAAAAATTTAAGAATATCAGAATGCGTGATTTACAAGAAAATAAAAAACACAATCGTTGGATTATACCATGCAAAGGTCGTACAATTAATGATGATACCGAAATTATTTCTCCAGAGCCAGAGCCAGAGCCACAACCAACAGCATGTTCACAACGATGGAGAATTCCTCAGTGTGCAATGGCAGCACCGTTCTTTCGTTATGAACAATAGGCCATTTTTAAACGTTGACAATTAACAAAGGCATTTATTAGGTAATGTTTATTTATATTTCTCTTATTAGTCTTAGATGAGATAGGAGGGTGCATGCGAGAAGAGTTATTAGAAGATTCGCCTCGGCCATGAATCCTTCGAGTTGTTTATGAAACGAAATCGGAGTAGGTCTAATAATTTTGAAATCTATGGACATAATGGATCTTATCGGCGGCCAGTTAATCAACAACATTAGCTGAGAAGAGAACAATAATCTCTTAGTTTCGAGCAATTCTATCATCACTCGATTTAATTTTTAAACTAAATAACACGAAATTCGTGCCACTGATCCTCTGCTAATCAGAGAAAGAAATGGCATGATACAACTATTAATGATGACATCATCGTTTTTTAGCTCACCATTGCAGCGACATAGAATTCCTAATTGAAATTTTTTATAGAAATTACATATATACTCCCTGAAAAATAATAGCTATAATCGATTATATGAATACATATATATTGCTATTACAATAGCCAATTAGATAAAGTTAATTTTTCTTGTATTTAGCTCCCGATAAATAAATAGAGAATAATGAGATTACCCTTAGTTGACAATTGCTGCAACAGTACATTTTTTTACCCATCTAAATCCTCTATCATTGTTAAAATTTGCATTTTGTTCTGCGACTATTTACTGTAGAATCAATTAAACATTACGCAAGCATAGTTGTTGACAAACTCTAAAAAAAAGTGCAGTTTTTTTTACCGTGTCTTTCATTTCTATGTAATATCAGAAATTCAGGATGAAAAAGAATCTTATGAAGTATCAAAACATTTGATTATTTGCGATAGAAGTTATTTTATTCAGATTATAAATCTCAAGTCAAAAAAAAGATTCTAGAAAGTAGACGATTTCGGTATTTATCAATAGACGATCCCTCCTATCCTTTTTTTATTCGAAATGTTTTCTTATTATGCCAATGTATACATATAATCAACAACGACAACTACTGTTCTTCATTCATTTATAACGAAATTATTTTCTTATTTAGATAAACATTTTCAATAAGGTCGTCCATGTGGAATTAGGTTGCTGTTGATTAATTCATAATGAAAAAAAAATTAAGTTTATGAAAATTTTATGTATGGCGATTATGAACGTAGCTCTTATAATATTCAAGGTGACTTTATTCTTCTCAAATCGCATCGTTAATCTATTATGTTATTTATCATATGTTCTTGATGATTATTTAATGCTTATTAATCATGTTTCACATCATCATCAATGACAAATTTCAACGTTAAAAAAATTGATTATTTATATATGTGTGAAACGGCAACTTTTCTCGATTCATTATGGTACGAATATGATTTGAAGATGTTTTTCTATTAGATTAATAAAACGAAAATGTTCAAGTGAAATTGTGATTCTTTTCTTTTTCTTGTTTAAATAAATAGAACATATTTCAAAGCTTTAATTGTGTCTTTAATGCTAGAATATTATCCAATGAGAATTAAAAGTTCGTTCATCAGAATTGATTAGATAAAATATCGGTACATCTCTCTGTTGCAAGAAAATTATGATATATGCTTGAAGCTTTCTCCCACTGGTTGTTTTTTTTAACTTAAACATATATAATATACTACGTAGGATACCAAATAAGTGTTATCAATAGAAAAGTATATTAATTGATGATGCTCAAAGCATTGAGCATGTGTATGGTATTGAATTTCAGTATATTCATATGAGACTGAACTTGTCTTTCATCCGCATTGTATTCTGGTGCATTTTCAATGAAATCAAGTATAATAAGGGTCCATAGATACAGTGTCAAATTAGAAGAATACTCCAGATTCGTGTCCAAATTTACTTAATGCAGCGTTTTTTTGCGATAGAGCAGCACTTTTGATATATTCTGAAGAAATCATAACAGCATTGTTACGGAATAGTAGTGTAAAGGATTCTTCAAATATGCAAGAAGAAAAAAACAATGTTTTATGTCCTTTGCATTTCGCAACAATTGTCATCGGAAAGAAACAACAATAGATCGTCAAGGTGTATCAACCTTTGAAGAGCATATAGAATCGATCAAATAATTAGACAACTTGCTGAGTATGAAGCGAACAGCACCACTCTCTCCCTAATGCATTACACGAAAGAAAGAATGATCCTTCGTCAATATCATCTTCATCACATACATGCTTATCGATATTCTTCGTTGTGATAAGAACATAAAATAAAAAGTAAATTGATAATAGCATTTTCATATTTGTTGTTGACATCACATATTTTCTGTGTTGACACATCGTTTTAGGTTATTTAGTAAACTGGCCAATTGTATGAATGAATAGTAACCAATGAAATGAGTTTGCATAGATAAATATTCTTTCGAAGTAATTTTATAGCATAACTGTTTGCAACAAAATTTGAATAATCGAAATGGTCAATCTTCGTTTATAAGTATTCTAACTACTGTTTAATGTTTAATAATTTTTTTCATAACTCTTAGTGAAGTTATTTGTCATATAAATAGAATTCTTTGAATGTTTTAGATTAGTTCAGTGCTAAAAAACACATCAGTTTATTGTTATGTCGTTTCCAGTCGTTTCTCCATTGTCACCCGATGCCAATGACGAAACAATGAAATTAGCTGCCTTTTATAATGAAACACTAGGCTTTTGCCCAAATGGTGTCTTTACTATGCAACATCGACCGGCTATTCTTACTGCTGCAATTAACCTGAACAAAGCAGTGATGGAAAATCATGGTCGTGTCACTAATGTTTTGAAACGTCTCATTGCTTATGTTGCTAGTTCCAAAGCTGGTTGTCAATACTGCCAAGCACATACTATACTAGCAGCGGAGCGTTTTGGAGCTGATTCAGAACAATTAGCTCACATCTGTCAGTATTCTACTCATGCAGCTTTCAGTCCTGCTGAACGGGCAGCTCTCGACTTTGCCGTAGCAGCTTCATCAGTGCCCAATGCTGTAAACAGTCCCATTATTGAAAATCTACGTCAGCATTGGGATGAAGGTGAAATTGTTGAAATTTTAGGTGTGATTAGTCATTTTGGTTTTCTCAATCGATGGCACGACTCAATGGGCACGACTATAGAATCTGGAGCATTAAATGCAGCTGAGAAGCATCTGGCAAAACATGGATGGTCTCCTGGAAAACATGCACAGACAAACAATTCATCTTGAGTTCATTTCGAAACCTAACGAATTACTCAAAATAATGATTACCATCATTTCTAGTTGAAATTTAATAAAACAAATTACAGCTACTGTTAAATGTACTTTACACAATACTAATTTTCATTCTTGATCAATTTCAAACTCATTATAATAAAAATAATATATTTGTAGAGAAACTAGCAACGCTACAAATTGGGTTGAGTAGAAAAACTGTCGTATTCTGGGTCTCCGAAAATGAAAGCAGCTACTTGTGTGTACCATATGCAAGTACATGGCTTTCAGCGTAAACGACAAAGAGAAAGTGCATTTAGTCTCAACGGATGCCTCATTAAGAGAATTCTCAGACAGTTCTAATGAGATAGCTTTGCGAAATGGTGATCCTCCAAAATTTTTACACTTAACCAATCTCATTCAAGTTCACAGAAATATAATCAGGAATGAGTTTCTTATACAGAATATTTTTAATTCCAAGCCTGCAAAAGTACTTTTGGAATTTAAAATAAATTGAATCGGTGGAATAGCAACAATGGGGAAGCAACTGTATTGAAGTTTATTGAAGAGAAAAATCCCGTTTGTGTATTTTCCTGAGCTCCATCAGGATCATTTGCTAAGTTATTAGAACTGTGTCTAGTATTGAAATTTAGTCGCGAGGAAAACATCTTCTGGGCTTTCGTCTGCAAAAATATGTGGTCGAGCACCAATGGAAAAGACGGCATGCTCTAGTTTATAGAAGAATTAGTTATTCTTGGTACTGGAATTGAAAAATCGTTTAATCAACGACACATTACAGTTCCACATAGCTAAAGTAACAGTATTTGGTAACGATGTACCTTGTACAATGGTCAATTCCATCGAATACTATTATGCTGAATTTGTATCCGTGAATAAACCTGTCCAAAGGTGTTGACGAACTCATTCATTGCATAATAGAAGCACTCGATAATGAAAAATGACTTGGCCGGTGAGATGCTGTATTATTTCGTCGCATTTTTTGGGAGAAGCTTATTCAGAAAGTAGATGATTTTGTTTCACTTCGCATAGAAAATATTGAATGTAGTCGTGTGCTATGTTTTTCTTCTTATCTCAGTCATTCATTATGATTTCACAACGAGCTTCTTGATTGTTCTAGATAATTCTCTTCTTCTTAGTTATGACCAAGCAATTTAATATAGGAGTTTGTGGCTTAGCTCGCCTTGGCAAAAGTACCCTTGTTAATGTTTTGCGTGTAAAAGAAGTCGGTTTCAGACGAGTAGTAGATTGTGTTCAGCAATGAGGAAATGAAGCTACAAAGAAGCATTTTTACGAAAATCCTCCACTCCGTGTGATCTATTGTGCATCGCCTGGTTCGCTTGCCGTATTATATCATGTTGCTTGGATAGCTTCTGAATGTCATCGGAAGAATATTTTTCGTGTCCTTGTCTGTACGAATATGTGGGCAGGTCGTAATCGACATGTGATTGTAGATGACTTTTGCGAAATATTGAATTGGTGGGGAATTTGAATTTGCGACAAATTCAAAATGTTTGTACTACTATAGTGGTATGGAGATATGGGAGGAGAGAGGGCCAGGGGAAAAGAATAAAAATATCATCCTCGCCCTCAATTTGTCTCTTTCCCTCATCATCATCTCTTTGAACATGTAGGCAATCATCTTGCCACAAATTCAAATATCCCATTATGTTTATGGTAGAAAAGAATCGAATATTTCTTGAAGCACAAGTGAGTTTATCTAATAGTTCATTTTTCAATAGTTTATCATTACACGAAATAAAAGTTTAAAATGATAAAGAACTTAATCTTATTTTAATGCTATTTCCTCAAATGACTTATCTAAAAAATCGATAGTACAACGAAAGCCAACATTGAATCTATTTTAAGAAAAATTGTTAAGATAATAATCAATAATGCTATTGACTCTCTTTGTTCAGTATGTTTATCTATGCTAACAGCAGATAATGACATTCCTCTAAACTTAAAAAAACAGATCGATATCCGATAGGATTTTCGGTTGAGGAACTACTAACAGATCCGATGGAATATTGAATACTTTTATTGTTTTCTAAGTAAATGCAGTATAATTGGAATTCCAGATGAATATCGAAATAAAATAAAAGTTCACTTCACATGCAAGTCATTAATCAGTATTTTGAGTTTTTCCTGTTGATTGGACTGATATTCTATGACATGCTGTACGACAGTTGGATGTCCTACAATAAACGAACAACTGCATTGTTATTTTTTCCTCTGATGTTCTCGCTCGGCGTCTATCAGTATGTATCGATTGGTTAAGTATTTAGCTCATACTCTCAATCTGTTTTATCATTAATTTCTACCGCCATCATCATCGTATTTGTTGTTGATGTTCTATATTGACATTTTATCAGGTTTTGAGCAATTTGTCGTGTCATTTTAAGATCATCCAGTTCTAAAAATTTGTGATTAAGATTTTTCTGACGTTAGCTTTACAAACATCATTCTTACCAGTATACTCTTGCTGCTTTTCTAAATCTCCAGTTTCATCAAGTCCATGCATACCGAAGAGAGAAATGCTATCAATATGATCCGATGGACACTCTCTTGTGGTTGTAGGTCAACTTTTTATTAAAAATATTTGCATTGAGTAGTTTAATTCTAACAGAAACAAAAAAAACTGTAGTGATATTGTACATCTACGAACCTTCTTTTCGATCACATATGCCACACCATCGAACTGTGTGATAAAGATTGAAGCGCGAAGAAATGCAATAGTGGAGAGTGCATGCCAAAAAATTTTGATATATCATGGAGAACGCTGTTCTTCTCGTGTAATTCGTAAGGAAATCTACTCCTTTGCGACCAACTATTTAACTCTCTTTTGGCTACTAATAGTTTCAGATTTTTTATTTTCAACTCCGCTATTTGAAATAAGTTATGCTTTTGTCTATTCAATAAATTTTACGAGCAATTTATTCTTCAGTGAACTAAGTATTTCTAGATGCGCTGCATTATGATCGTTTCTCAACGTATCATAACGTTAATTTACGGCACGATAATCTCCTAAAAACTATTGGCGATAATTAAATAGCTTAGTTTCCAGTACATTCTGCGAGAGTATTAATTTATTTGTCGAGCGAACCTTTAAAAATAATTTCCTATTAAATTAAAATCTAGCACAACAGCTAGAAAGTGAAAACACATCCAACGTTTTTAATTAGCACCTGGAAGTGATCATTAAACATTTCCGCCGTAATCTTTGAATACACGTAAGACTTGGTATTTATAAACATACACTCGACGACACTAGAAACAATAAATAAGTAGTAGCTGGTAGTTCTTTTCGAAGTTCTCATAGCACAAACAGTCTCCTATTCATGTCACTTTTCCATATTTATCTATGTTCTTCCGACAAATATATATCCACTTTGGGAAGCGATCCTTCCAACCAAAAAGAGACCCATGGTGAACTGTCTGTTCTTTGTTTCTCTCAAAAATGATGATAATTATTCGTTAGTTTGTCTGCATAAAAGTATGTATCTAGCCGTAATAGTACAGCATCGTCATATATACTCGAAAGAGATTAAATAATAGATCATTCTTTTTCACTAGTTAGAGAGAACAACTCCTCTTTGATGGCAATCTCTACATAAAATTCAAACACAAAATTGTTTACCAGATAGCTGTCATAATGAACAACAGAAGCAGAAAAAATTTCTTCTCTTCCATCTCATTTCTAACAAAATATTTATCCCTTGCATCATTTAGCAACACTGCTTAACAGGGAGACTGAAATACTGAATTTACAAGGTTAGACAGCGACAATTTTTCTTTTGAGTAGATTTACCAAACGAAATACTTTTGTCTATCAATTTAACGTAAAATCATTTTCAAGTTTTGAACTATTTCTTGAAGCTTTCTCAATTGTTCGTGTAATGCAACACAATAGTTTAGAGTTTCTATAGAGATTATAGGTTGACCAAAAAAACTACATCTTTAACGATTTTTACATTAGGCTTCTACAATCTCATATACCTGATTGCCGTTTCAACAAAACAGCACAGGCACTCCAGAATACAAAAGGTGTCTATTATAGATTTGAATATTCTCCAAGTTCACTAATGAATTTCTCACGAAAAAGCTTTATAATCATTTCCGTAATAGTTTTTACAGATTCATACTTCGAATGAAATTATATTGGACTCGTGAGTTTTTTAATAGAAAAATACTTCAATCGGACTGGCAGCCGTGAGACCCTTTCTTTAGCTACTGGGATTGCTGCTAACTTGAAAATATTGCCATGAGACTGTCTCAGTAATGCAAATATGATCGTCAAATAATGTTAAAATGAAAACTCGATGTAATAGAATTTTTCTGTGGGATAAGCAAAGTAAGTATTATTAATAGGAACCTCAATGGATTTTCGTCTTCGTTTCGGTAAAAAACCATCACGCAAGTGTGGCTAATTGTTTTAGAAATATAAAATTCATTTCAATCGATGGAAACAGTCGAGAGTTGTCATACCAAATTTGGTGTTCTAATATCTCTTCAAATCCCATCGATCGCTTGCTACATCGGTTTAGTTTATCATATGCTATCAAGTCGCCATAACCTACAAAAACTTCGCAATCATACTGCAATTGCCATGCTTTTTGTGGGTTTCATCGCAGTTATCATGGGTCTCTCTATGATTCTCAACTTCTTACAAACTGGTGCTGTCAAGCTCGGTACTGGCGCTTATTGTCGCGTTTGGAATTTTATCGATTTGCTTCTCTATGCACTATTGTCTATACTGATGTTGTTGACATCAATCGAACGGCATATTCTTATTTTTCACAAGCAACAAATACTCAATGCACAACGAAAGCGTTTCTACGTGCATTATATTCCACTTGCTTGCATTTTCGGATATCTAATTTTTTTTCTATATTTAAATCGCTTTCATCCATCAATGCGAAAATCAATTCGACTACAATCAAGTGGTCTGTGCTGGTCTATATGCTTCGTCATCGATACTCCTGTGTTAGGTGTCTTTGATCAATTGGATCATACTATTGTTCCATCTATTCTTATTTTTATTGCGAATATTTGTTTGTTGCTTCGTGCTCTCTGGCAAAAACATTACCACATGCGACAAGCAATATAATGGCGAAAACATCAAAAATGATCTTGCAATTTCTTCCTGTATCAGTTCTCTACTTATGTAGTTTTCTCCCGTTTGGATTCATCCAATGTTATCATATGACTCATGGTCCTACTAGTCTTAGCGTAACTATCCAACAGTTGCATTTTTTCTATTTATTCTATATTATTGGTGCATTGCATCCTTTTGCTTGCCTGAACTCTATATGAAATGGTTCCATAGACTAACTCAACAAGTGAATCCTAATTCTCTTCAGCCTACAAATAAAACAGTTAAACTAATCACAACTGTTTTCTAAATCCATATACATTAAAACCTCTCTTGAGTGAACACCATGCGAGCTGTACGAAATGTGTTCACTAAGGGAGGTTTTGTATTGACTGACCTTATATATGTAGAAAACGCATTTTTCACATTCTTGATTTATGAATACGTATGTTATGTATAATAACTGAAGTAAGTATGCATTGATTAATTCACTCTTTCATCTACTGTACAATTTATTTACTGTTAATTATTCTTGAAGAAGTGGCCCAGAAATAGGGATATTCTTGCTACGTTGTTCAACAAACCATTCATAGACTTGTTGACTGATTTCATCTCTTAGATTTCGCTTTTTGCTTGAATTCTCGTTGTTTTCAAAATCTTCTATATATTAGGTCATGCGTTTTTTGATTTTTGATACACTTCCGATAGAGATTTTGTATTTTTCGACAAGTGCACGATATGAAACGTTGTTTTCATTTTCACGAATTAATCGTATGTCTTCAGATAAAGTCAACGTGTTTCGCGCCGTCATCTCACAATAATGTATAAGAAAGCGTTCTTTTCGTGCTGCATTGACGAGCACTCATTTTCATATGATCGTTCAACATGAGCATCGCTTTTTATTTCTCTCTTTTAATTCTGGCGAAAATGCACATTTGGTAGCTTATATGTTCACTATGCAGAGGTTTTCTCTAGTAATTAATGGGACCAAATAAAGTGTTCACTAACAGAGGTTTTACTGTAACTTAGATTCTATTGAACGTAGAACAACAGTCTGTATTGTAGCTATATCGTTTGTTTCGAAATAAACCATCGTAAAAAAAAGAAACGGTAACTTGTCTGACCTGTCTAGAATTCATCTAC